CGCCAATAAAACCGTGTTGTCGTCCGTTTATAGCCTTCCGTTAGCTTTTTACTCCTGGTGATTGCATTCATGCTTAAAAGTGGTGTTCATTTGTGAAGATTATCTTGAATAAACTGTGTAAGTCTCATAAACGTTTGCCACAGAGCTTACTTTCTGCAATAATCCAAAATCCTACGGAATCCAATCCAATGGAAAAATCCAATTGGCTTTTTGTCGAGGAAACTAGCGTGATGCTATGAATTTATAACAGTAACTGCGTGTTACAAATGTTTGAGTTTAAAAAAGGCGAAGGCTGCTTCAATTTTGACCATTCTTGTTTTAATCTAATCTAGTTTACTTTCAGAAAGTGCAATAATAATTCACTGGACTGCCACTTTAAACGGTTGAATACAGGCAAATATTAGTGCTCAAAGTTAGTTCACAAGCATTTACTTTCCTCATCCACTCACACTGCGAGAAAACATTCAGTCTGAAACAAACGCAGTGACACGACAAGCTCCACGGGTCAGGCTGTGGTGAGAGAGGTGAACTCATACAACACTTAACATTTCATTAACCGTTTCCCCCCCACACCCCCACACCCCACTAGCAGCTGAGACATTCCATAAACACTTGGCCTGCCAGCCAGCAGCACAGAGGGCCCTTTGAGTGGGACCAGGGAGGGGAGCTGAGACTGCAGGAGCAGGGGTCTGAGGCGGAGCACGAGGGAGGATCACCGAGCCGGGGGAGGCCCGCAGGCTCATAAACATGCCAAAGATTCTTCTTTTATTAATTTTTTTTGGAAACGTGAACAGAGGAGCTAATAGGACAATCGGGTGTGATCGGGGCTTGCATAGTTTTTGTGTTTTTGTTCCGTTTTCTGATGGGGAGGAACAAAAAGACTATTCATGACATTTACTGCGAGAGCAGCTGGCGATGCCTGGGCTGGTGTACTCATGGTCTGCCAGCTTTTGATCACTTTACTCAGTACACTGCACAGAAGAACAGGTGTCTTACACACACACATACACACACAGAGGCAAAGTTGGCTGCCCCCGAGTGCTGCCAGCACTTTCTCTTGTGGGCCTACATTTACTCCAGGAAAGAGAGAGGCTGAATTCTTTAGCTTCCTTGACCACCAAACCTCAGATGTTGATAATCCAGGTACAATGATAGGCCTGTCTGGGCTTCCTTGAGGAACCTCAAATATTCATGAGTCTGCAATTAACCGGGAGTGTAGACCAGCCTCGGTGTGACTCCTGCTGAGGCAGCAAGTCGTGCCGATCTCTGGACTGAGGCCAAGCCATTCAGACAGCCGTCATCACCTTTTCAGACAGACCTTTCTATTTACAAAAACCGTGCCAAATCCTCATAAATGCATCCCAAAAGACAGAGTTCTGATTTGTTTTCACAGAGATATTATGACTGAAACTAAGATAATGAATGGTGAGATTTATTATTTCCCATTTGGCCGACCTCTTCCTCTACGCCTCTCGCTGTAATACATTAACCATGAGACGGTCGACACACTCAAGACCTTTCCAGAAAGCTGTGGCCACAGGCATGTCAGTGTCATGATGATAATTAATTATGGCAAAATAGACCCATCAGAGAGTTGGCCTCCTTAAAAGGCCCACAGCTAATCAGCAGCTCTATTCACAGTAGGCTTGACAATTGGCCTAGATAACCAGAAATCAGGAGACAACACTTATTCTTCTATTCATAGAAAAAGTGTCCCCTGAGACGTGTCAATTTTAGACTGACCATTTCACACCACCATGCAGCTGAGTATCGGCGGGACTATGGGTTTGTTTGTGTCAGTTAGTAGGTGTTTCTAATGGTAAGTCAGTCATTTTTTCCCAGGCGGAGACAGGCTGACACCATGCCAGATACTAAAAACACTCATACAACAGCGGCAGGGACCACGTCAACTCTTGGTCTGCTGCCAGCGCTCACATGTTCCACGACAGGGTGCAGAACATAAACACACACACACACACACACCGAATCTTACCGTCTAGAAAGCCTTGATTTAGGTACAACCACTGACTGGATTGTTTAGTTTACGCAGCTTTAATAGTTACACAACACTCAGCGAACTGGAGCACAAAGCGTCTTTGCAACACTGAGATTAAGTTGGCTTTACTCGGCTCATTTAATAGATTTGAGTGAATGCCACAACGCTTTATGATAAATTAAAAAAAAAGAAAAAAAAAGAAATTCCAACTGCTCCCTGAAAGTCACTAACCACAACAAAGAGCAGTTTATTGCAAAAACTCGCCTCAAAGCGGCTCCCATGCCCGAGGCCTAATCCAGCAACGTGCACAGCAATGTTATTACAACATCAGAAAATAAATCCACACTTCTGGTAATCCACATGAGGCAGCTGTGTCGTTATATCGGCAACAAGTCTCCTCGGGACAATAGCTGGACCTCGGGCTCTGCAGGACGGTGCCTTTAAACAGAGGGAGTCAGATAGGACGGGGTGCAGAACGAGGGGAACTCCAACAGATCTTACACTTAACAGGTTTACTGGACGCACCACTGGGAAAACAGCTGTGTAACGAGCATGAAACTTTAATCTTCATCGTAGAATCAGTAGTAGGACTAAAAAATGCATTCATAACTCTTAAAAAGCTGCAATGTGTAACATGTAGACACGTACTGCAAACAAATAGGAGGATGCATTTCACCTCAACTACTGGGTACTACTGAGTTATAAAAAAAAAAAATCAACTACTGACTAACAGCAGGACAAGATTATGCAAAATGCAACCAAACTGCTGAAACTCTATAGCTGATTGGCCAATAATTTACGTTAGCCGTCTTTATGTTCACTGTGCCGCTAACCGTGGGGCTGTGCAGTGCGTGTACACTGCGATAGCTTGTTTGTTGGATTAAATCCAAAGTGCCAGAAACCAGAAAACAAGGTAAAAGTGGTGTTGCAAGACAGGACGGGTCGGGGCAAGCTGGTTAGCGTACTCATTTCAGTAGACTTCTCTGCAACACAACACAGAGATAGATAGCATTGACATAACGTCAACACTGTAACTCCTTCACATTCTGTTGATAATGTTAACTAATATTCTGGCCAGATCTTTACACACTGCACCCATAATCACATCTCACGGTCTTCACGGCAAAAGAGTTGAAAGCTTTGGTAAAAAGCTAGTAAGAGGACCTTGAGTTCGGACACTAGAGATTTATCAGAAAGCACTACAACCTGGGGACATAGAGCTAGTGGGCATTCACCAGACAGAGAGGGTGTCACAAAGATATGATATTGATTGCATTGTGCTTAATGTAGGATCCAGCGTTTTTGAACTAAAGTCAGACTATTTTTGCTAATTGCTATATCAATTTTAACATTTTATCCGTCTATCTCAAGTCCAACAACTTTATAAGAGAGCAGCACTGACTCATTGGAGTGCAGTTTTAATATCATGGAAGTGAAAACAGGTTTTCCTTCTCATAAATGTATTAATTCTTTGGAGGAATATAAACTTTCTGTGCGTCTGCTCTTAATTATGTTTCTGCAAATTAAATAAGAAAAAAACGGAGCTACGAGTGTGAAAACATCCTGACGGCGTGTCACCAGCACCAGCGCGACAAAAGGCCCAGAGGAATGGATTTGGACATTCCGGCCATCCCAGCGGCGCGCTAGCTTACACTTCATGCTGATTATATCACAACTATCTACTTGTTCGTCACATGCTTTGTGTCAAAGAGCTTTGGAGACTGGATCACCTTATATAACAACGCACTATTCTGCTCATCTGTTTAATCTGACCCATAGTGGATAACACTTTTTTTGGGGGGGGGGGGGGGTTGGAGTAGAGGCAAACAATTTTCCAGCTCCAATCCTAAAACGCTCTCTGCATCCCAATCCCTCTTTGGCCTCAACCAGCAACAATGTCCTCGTGTCCCCGTGTCGTTCACTTTGACAAACGTTCCTGCAGAGGAACACTACACCACCGCCTCTACTTCTGTCCTTGGCATTACCAAGTAGCCCAGACCCCTCTCCTTATCCCACTTAACATTGTTGTATTGTCAACATGTCAATACTCGTGCTCAATGAGTGATTCTCCTATTGTGTTCACACATAACAGCAGGAAACACTGATGGCAGGCGTTCTGATTGGAAGCCGCATGACACACTTTAAGCCCCTCGATCCTCTTCTTTTTTTTATTAAGTGAGTTGTCAGGGCTTGTTTTTTTTTTTCCTACCAGTCGCCTCCTGTAACAAAGAGCCTCCCCAAATCTATCACGCTAGACGAACCCCTTTAACTTAATTACTCGGCACCAAGGACAACAACACTGATGTGTGCTGACACAAAAACATTCAGGGAGGACGGGGCTGAGCGACCGGGAGGCCTGGGGGCAGCCAGAGCATCTCTTGTGAGAGTGCTGCAGCACTCAGCGGGCAAAGAGCAGAAGGGGGCAACACACACAAAAAGAGAGGACAGGCCTGCTTACAAAGGGTAATGAAAACACTGACAGAGCTGCAAAACCACTGGGTTGCTGTTGAGGATCAGTGTATGTGAAGTCCATTTTGTCAATCCCAACCCCTTCATGGCAGGTTGACTTGGATAATACAAAATACAATTCTCACTAACAGGACGAGAAGATGAATTTAGACACACAGGACCTCTATTTTTTTTGTAGGCCACTTCAATCATAATAGCTCAGTCCATTTCAAGTAAACCTGCTGATACCACAGAAAATGGCAAAAACACAACAAGAAAGAAGTTGTTTTTTTTAAATAAAGTGCATAATAATCCTGGCTGCACTAAACATTTTAGGATGGATTGAGTGTGTGAGGCTAAAATATTAGGTGCATTTTACACATCAGTGGCTTATTCTGGATCAACGCTAGTCTTTCAGACCGTGATTAGAGGGCCTTGAATGTGCTTTTTAGTACTTTATCATCTCTACCCATTAGAAGACTTTTATGGTTTTAATCCTGAAAAATGAAAGGCTTGAGGAATCATCTGTGTTGTGCAGTGTGTCTTGCAGACCTACCCAGATCTCCTTGAACACTGTTGTCGTGAGAGGTCCTGCTGGACGTGGTGGACTCCCCATCACTGGGCCAGACCTGGCCCGTTTTACGGACCCCTACGACGGAGGCCTCGGACACCGTCCCCTGCTGCTGCTTCAGGCGTTTCTGAGACAGGGGCGTGGGCGGGCTGCTGCTGTCAAAGGAGTGCTGGGAGGGCGAGCGGCTTTTCTCCCTGTACATCTGATAGGTGGTGGGGCTGGGAGACACGTGGCTGGACTGGCCCGAGGAGAAGTCCTCCTCGCTGGACGTTAGGTTCTCGTTGGAGCTGCAGTCCGGTGTGTAGCCTCCTCCTACGTCGTCAAAGCTGCCGGGAGAGTAGGAGCGCCTCGGCCAGGTGAGGTGCGCGTCCTCCTCGACGCTGTGGTCCCTAATGTGGATGACCCGGGTGTCCCCGTCGGCCATCATTCCCCCGACATACACGCTGGTGTAGGGCTGGCACTCTGCTGACTCAGACTTCCCCCCAGTGGAGGGGATCACACCGTCTTTCAGGAAATGAGGGCTGACCTCGGCGTCCTCATACGACCCGTTGTGGCTGCAGTTCCCCTCGGTGGACCTGCCTCTCTGAAGATCTTTGCCGATGTCCCCCGTGGCGGCCGACAGGTTCACCGGGACGGAGTGCATGGACCTCTTGCGCTCCATCTGCATGGCCTGACTGCCCAGGGTGCTGATCTTCTCCGAAACCTCCCTGTCGTTGACTTTCACCAGCCCTCGCTCTGTGTGGTACTCCATGTTCGCGTAGAAAGGTTTCTCCTGTCCGCCCACGACTGACAACCCTCGGCCGTCTCCAGCCGAGTGAGAGTTGGCCCTCCTGATGCGCTCAAAGTTGGACCTCAGGGCGGCCACAGAGCCCGTGCCCAGTGGGAAATCTGGGATCTCTGAGTCCTGGTGCACTCGTGACACCCCACCCTTCTGTTTGGCTGGGGACGCACCATCCATCTCTCCTTCTGGATGTGGTTTACACCTGGTTGTTTTGCCAGGCCCTCTCTGCTGCTGCTGCTGCTCCTCCACTGGTGCCTCTTCTGTGTGGGGCCTCTGGCTGTCTGGGTCTCCATCAATCATTTGGGGCGTGCTTTTAAACCCCCATCGCTGCCCGTCGTAAGACTTCCTCTCTTTTGCGAGCAGAGTCTGCAGGTAGATCATCCTAAAGCGCTCCTTGTTCACTTCCTTCTCCAAGTGCCGGATAGAAGTCTTGCATTTGTCGAGCTCCTGTTCAATGTTCCCCAGTGAGTTCAGCTCCATGCAAGGGGGGTCGGACTCGGGGAACTGGGCTCTCCATGCTGCTACAAACCCCACCGGTTCAACCATTGTTATGAACTCTTACATTAACTATTCAATCCACTAACAACACAATCACACACGTTCCTAAAGCCTGAACTGGACTGGACTGTTTACAACTCAAAGCTTCCATGGTGCTATAGTAGGTTACAGAAAGGGAAAGTGTTCTCCAGATGAAGGAAGGATCCACTTTACAGGGAAGAAAACCTGTTTAGTTTACAGTCTTTACTCACAAACACAAGGAGAAAACTCTTCAGAGGCGAGATCACCGGTCCAATCCCTTTACTCCGTTTGACTCAGTCCAAGAAAAGTGAGTTTATCCTTTTATTCTTGACTTGATCCCTTCTTGTGCTCGTCTATTCTCTGGAGATCCTCTGTCTTCCTCTGTGTTTGGTGTCAGACTGACTCGCAGCTCTCTGGTGTTGTCGCTCTTCTCAGCAGCAGAAAGAGGAGGGGCTACATGGATGAGATTTAGGCTTAGGCTACACTCCAAATACATAAAAAACAACAATGATTAGTCAAAATGCTGCTTCTGGTCAAAAAAAAAAACTGTGTTTCCAGGTAAAGCTGATTACGACAAGAGGAAATCCACCAGAACACATATGTGCACGAGGAAACGCGCAGTGACAGCTATACAACGTAAGGTCTAAAAAGAAAGGAGATTTATTTTAAAGACACTTTAAAGGAAGAAAACGTCCCACGGCGTGATGCACATGAGGGTTTAGTGCAGGACGTCGTTGTCTTCAGGTTGTTACAGTTCAGGTGGATGAAGAAAAAAAGAGGTCACGACTGTCCAAACTCTCCGTTGTAACGTCAGCTCAAATGCAGGCTTGAATTTGTTTTACCCACAATACGAACACAGCTTAATGGTGTCCAACCTGAGCTTTAGCCGTCTCTCTCCGACACAGCGCACTTGTCGTTAAGCTCTGAAAACTCTGATTGATCCAACCAAAGTTCATTGTGTGGCCACATGAAGTCGTGCCTTGTGGAAATGTCGCCACCTGACGGTTTAAAAGTTCATATGAATACGACGTGATGCTTATCCTCAATAACTTATGAAGTGGTTACTAACTGTAACATTTCACGGTTCTTTTGTGCGCAGTTAAATGCAACATTTTGAGATTTACTATATAGACTTGTTAATGTTGCGGTTTATATGGTATTATGCTGTTTGTATCCTACCATTGTTGTTGTTAAATTGCTTCAAAGGTGAAAAGAAGATCGCCACATCGAATTCAAGACATTTTCTGCGTTTAGCCCTCATCAAACAAGCTGCAGGTACATTTTAATGTATTTCATTTTAGCCGGAAAGTTTATTGAAATGTTCAGTTCAAGGAAAACAACCTTTACAATTTAATACTTTATCAGATTAAATATCAAGATGTCCGAATGCTATCTGACTGTTTAATAATAATATATATTAAAAAAATTCCCGCCATGCGTCAAAATTTTTCATCAACTTTTGTATTCTTCTCTCAGCGAAAAGCCATTTGCGCACATGTAGCGCAACAGTGACTCTCTTCATCACTCTGGCAAAGCTACTTCGTGTTACCAACCAATCCGCTACGCCTTCTTGGTTTCCATGGGGCTGGTGACAACAACCGCTGCCTCTCTGTCCGCTAAACTAGCAAACTGACGAATTAAAAAGTCGAACTAACATATCTATCGTAAACTTGACTTTTATAATTTGTAATTAGTTGTGTGCCATTGTCACCAGCAGGTCGGGTGGATGTATTTGTAACGGTTTCTTTGCAGGTTGGATAGCTTGTTAGTCGACGCCTGAGAGCTAACTGCTAAGCTAGTTAGCTAAACGTTAGCTTCGGCTAAACCAGAAAAATAAGCGTTAATTCGTTCATTTGCTGCGTTTCGTATCGTTCAATATGAGTGAACAGCTGAAATTCATCGTTGAACAGCTTAACAAGGATCCGTTCAAGAAGAGCTTTAACCTCATCACGTTTGACTCCCTCGAACCGATGCAGCTGCTGCAAATATTAAATGATGTTCTGGCTGAAATAGACCCAAAGGTGGGACACTGACGTTTGTGTCAGTGCAAACAGTGCACACATGTTGTTTGATAATGAGCCTACATTAATCTGACCTCGGTAATGCTATTTGCCCCTACTCTTGTCTTTAGCAAGCTCTGGATATCCGTGAAGAAATGCCTGAACAAACCATAAAAAGAATGTCTGCTCTGCTGGGGATGCTGAAATACAAACCTCCTGGTAACCTCTCTGATGTGTAAGTAATAACATCCAATGAGACTATAAATAGCCACATTTTATTTCTAGTCCTACCAATATTTTCATCATATTCTCTCATGCAGGAGCATCTTCAGACAAGGCTTGGTGGCTGGCAGAAAGCCCGTGGTCCACCCCATCCTCCACTGGCTGCTACAGAGGCTCCCCGAACTGAAGAAGAGGGCCTACTTGGCTCGCTTTCTAGTCAAATTGGAGGTGCCCCCAGACTTTCTGCAGGACGATGTCATCAACGACACCTCTCACCAGGTTGACACTTCATTACCCACGCACGTGTTGTTTCCTAGTTTTTGGAAATCACTAATAACCTAAAATGCAAAAGAGGCTATGCGTTAATTGTTGTGTGTTCACAGTATGAAGAGCTGGTGGAAGGTTTTAAGACGTATCACAAGGAGTGTGAGCTGCTGAGGACTTCTGGCTTCTCCACAGCAGAAATCAGAAGGGTGAAAAACAATCAATGACTCTTTACAAGCACTGTTTGTCAAAATGTATAATAACACATGTTGAAACTAATTAGTTTTTCAGTTTTAACTTTGTGAATGATATAATAATGCAGTTTCTGAAGCTTAGTTGATATAATGCACTTAATCAAAGGATCCCTTTTTTCTCTCTCCAATAACAGGACATTAGTGCGATGGAGGATGAGAAAGACCAGCTCATCAAACGTGTGGAGAGGCTGAAGAAGAGGGTAAGGCAGTCTGTTCAGAGGGGCCCCTTCGCTCCTCGAATGCTTGGAGGGCTTTAGGATTCGTTGTGGAATGAAAACATGACCCCGGTCATATATTATCAGCTTCTCTAATAGACCTGACAGGTCTCTGACAGGCTGCAAGGCTGTCTTAACAAGGCTGTGAAGTAACGAGGTGTTGATTTAACCGATCTTACTTGTCGACCTTTGCCAAAAAGGTGAAACGTGACTCCGTTAGACGTGCTTGGATTTTTCTGCAGACCATGTGACACAGCCTGTGATCGCAGAGCATCATGCTAACTAACTTGTGGATCCACTAGGTGGAGTCGGTGTCCAACCATCAACGGATGCTGGAGCAGGCCAGACAGCTGCGAGTGGAGAACGAGAGAGAGGAGTCATTGACTCACCAGAAGCAGGAACAGAAGAACCAAGTAAATGCTTGTGACGTTGATTTTATCATTACATTTGCTCACCGTGGAATAATATACTGAGACATTGTAGACCAGTTATATGCTGTCTGCTTTGCTTTGGAAGACGGAAAAGAAAGATATTAGGGCTATGTAAGGGCTCGGTATTAGAAATAATCTGTTGCAAAGTCGCAGCCCTATTTGATCAACGACAAAGAATCTTCAAATGACAATATAAAGTTGCTTTCAAATACTTTTGCTGAGTCTATTAATCCATTAGTCAACTTGAGAATCACCGAAGTCATTTTATAAGCCAAATTTCAAAAATGTTCTTAGTCTTTTATGATTGTAAATTGCATAATTTTGGGTCAAAACAAGTAATTTGAAAATGTAACCTGGGACTCTGGGGACAATTGCTGTGCATTTTTCACTATTATCTGACATTTTGAAGACAAAACAACTCGCATATTCATCAAGAAAATCATCATCACGAATGAAAGTAGTAGTCAGTTGCGGCCCTTATGTTAAACAAGCTAATTATCAATGCTTACTGAATGTTAAGGCTCCCACATCACCTGTATTAGTAATCGTTTTGGTGTGTTCAGCTGTTCCAGGCAGAGCAGAGACTGCAGAGGTCGCATCAGCAGTTGAAGGATTTGCGACAGGCAGCAGCAGATGCCAATCCAGAAAGTGAGTACCCATGTCCTGCTGTTGCCTCTGCAGGACACAGCTGGAGGGGCAGTCACCGCAGAGCATTTAGGAGGTCTCTCAGCTAATAGGTTCTCATCTATTGAGACCCTCTAATTATGCTGATCTTTGAAGCGCTATCACGGAGCTTATCTAATACTGAAATTGTCTCCTTTTGTTCTCCTCCGCTATTGGGCCCTTCAGCCAGGGGAGAGATTTACACATTTACAGTTTCTAAAATGACATGTCGTTTAACTATTAAATTCTGAAAGTCAGTTTCAATGTCGGTACATTTTACATATTAGTGGTGTGTGTTCCATATGCTTAGATGGTTTGCGTGTGTCAAAGATATTCAGCTTTTCTTACTGAGTAATTAGAGCTGCACAAAGCCTGACAGGATTACAAAGACATTGAGCTCAAAGTGCGTAATTAAAACGCTCCGTCTCTTTCAGGCTTAATGAAGAGGCTTGAAGAGGAGATCAAGATCAACTCCTACATGGTCTCTGAGAAACTCCCCAAAGAGCTGGAGGGCACGAGGCGTACGGTGCAGTACCTGCAGAAAATAGCGTCGGAGCCCGCCATGGGCCAGGCCGATCTCCAGGAGCTGGAGGACAAGGTCGGGACCAGGATGTGGTGTTAAGTCTCTGTACTTCCATACACTGCAACATATAATCTATCTGCAACTGTCACGTTCACAGATTAAAGAAGTCGATTCTCAGATAAACCAGCTGATTGAGAAGAGGATGATGAGAAGTAACCCCATGGATGACAAACTGACCCTTTACAGACAACAGGTGTTGGATTTCTTTTGTCTTTCATCTCATGCTCACACGTGCACAAAATAAACAAAACGGGGACCCTCTTGTACAAGAACAGCTCCATAGCGCAGCTAGAGGTCAACAAATCCAAAGGGACACTTTAAGGATGAGGTGCCTTTCAAAGGTTAACCTTCGAGAAAATCAGTGCATTGGTGTATTGGATTGTTTATTTATTTGCGAACAAGGCAGGGACAGCAGTGCTCGTGTTTTGTAGAGAGCCTAGATAACAGCTTCAGTTCCCTGTTGAAAAGGGCTGTCTGACGACACGGTGAAGTGGTTAAAATATTCCAAACATAGCATCCACTTAAACTGATATGGATTTCTTTTAGGCGGCTAGAATACGTTTTGCTGCCCGTACTCCTGCATGTCTCTCCAAACCGGTAGTGCGCCGATACGTCATCTACTGTAGTAATACACTGACTGTGGATAAGTACTTCATACAACCCCACTTTAAAAATAAATCTGAATTGTCCCTTTTAATATGAGCACAGAGAAACTTTCCTCATTCAACAGATGAATGTGAAAATACCCTCCTAGTGTCAAACGCTGCACAGAAACGCTCACACATGCAAGCGATGTGACAATTGGCAAAACACATTTTTAAGGGGCCGTTAAGATTTAGTTTTTTTTTTTCTTGCTGGTTCATATTTCTTGCCCATGTCTTGCCCTGATAATTTCCCCCATTGCTCAGTTGCATTCACTCCCCAACAGGTTCACCGTCAGCCACTCTTTGGTAGTCATCTTTGTATATCTAATAAATGGTGACTCTTGCAGGTCTCTATCATCATTCGAAGGAAGGAATCAAAGGCGGAGGAGCTTCAGGAGGCGAGGGAGGAGCTGGCCGTGGCAGAAAGGGAGCTGAAGCAGAGGAGCAGCCAGGCACAAGCCTCAGAAGGTGGAGAGGTCATCCGGGGTGACGAGGTACAGCAGTCACTAAATATCTTCTACCACCTCCCAATGTCTCCAAAGCTATGTTGATCTTATTAAGCTGGATGGACAACAGCCAAGAAAGGAGACATTTTTCTGCACGATTCTCTTCTTTTTGTTCGCGGTAACATTGCCTAGAAACTCACAGCTTTATCTAAGTGAGCACTAGTAGATTTGCAAACCGCAGAAAACACAAGAGGCTATTTCTGTTCTTATCTAAACACAGAGGAGCTCACTGTCTAATGTTACTTATCCCTTTTCCTTACTCTCCCCCACATTCCTATACAGAGCCATGAATAGAGCACAACAGAGAATATCCAGAACAAGGAACTGTACTGTACAAACTGCCTGAAAGATGGCCTTTTCCCCCAATCTCGAGTGTCATCAGTCTCCTAATTTAGGTCAGCTGGACACACTAAGCAGACTTTGGGGAATAAAAACTTTTGTCTTTATTTATATAGCATGACGAGGAGGAAGTACTCTTCCTACTTTCAGAGACACGGCACGGCTGTCATGTTGATGAATAGAACTTAACTATTGACAGGGAGAAAGAAAAAACGTAATAATGTCGCACTTAAGTGAGAAAATCCTCGAGCAGTCCCTTCTTCTTTGGCCCATGCGTACACTGAGCTTATAGGTAGGGTCCATTACAAACAGTTCTGTAGTAGCAGAGGGACGCTGATAGACGGGGCTTGTGCTGTGACCCCATGCACCGTGTGAATGAGTGTTTATAGCCCGATGTTTGACGCACATCGATGCCCATGAGTTGAGAGCTGGGATCTTTGCCGAGGCAAAGAAAGTGGAAATTGTAAACAATTACAATGCTAAATGTAGCATTTTAGCATCAGTGCGTCATTAACAAAATACTTGTAAGATTTACATTAGATACACACATGAAAGTTGACCTCTGCATTTAACCCATCCTACGCGTTTTGACGAGCAGTGGGCTGCCGTAAAGCGCCCGGGGAGGCTTGAAGTTCTGTGTCTCGCTTAAGAACACTTCGACATGCAGAGAGGAGGAGCCGGGGAATCGAACCGGCAACCCTGTGGACAACCCTTCTAAAAACTGAGTTACAGCCGCCCCACTTAGATAACTACTTAAGTAAACACACATAAGGTGGACAACCTTTCAGGCCTCCATACCGCTGGTATAAGACAGAAGCTCACATGTGTTTCAGCCACTGTCGATGCTCTGAATAAATTATGACAATATATTACAATTAATGGGAGACTGACATACCTTTTAAGTCTGACTGAAATGATGAGAGGGAGCTGCTTGCAGAGACAAAGAGGGCCCTTGAGACGATACATGAAGGAAGTTAATGGAAGATAATTTGCCAAACACAGCTTATCAGACTCCTCGGTAGTTTCATCAGCCACAGTGGAGATGATCACGTTATCGGAGGTATTTTCCATTCTGCTGGTTATGTGTCATCACATGCCGCCCACCAACTGCACGGTCTCTCTGAGAGGGATGACTACATCTGCTTGTCATTGGTTGGCCGGTAACATGAAACCACTTTATTAGCCAGCCTCATCGCGCTGGTTAAATTTAGCCTTACTGCAGGCAAGAAACCTCCATGCTTGCTTTTTTCTCGAAGTACTGTTGTGATGTGGCTTACATTTTTATCTTTTGAAAGGATGCTCTGCTACTGTACAGCACACGTAGTTATTTGGAGTATCTGCTGCAACGTTCGGGTTCCTGTTGACTTGTCTGCAGCTGTGTGTGTTGGTGTGAGTGTGCTGTACGTCTGCAGTAAGTGGTGGTGTTATGACTGCGCTGTCGGCCAGTTTACCAGCAGTTGTGTTTTGGGGACACACTGTCGGGACCGCTATGCAGTATTATTCTGCTGTGCTAATTCCTCTCTCAGCCATGTCTGCCCTTGATGTCCCGAAATACACAAAGAATAAATGTACACACACACACACACGCACGCACAGATACATGGATCCCCAAAGGACATAAAGCACATTCTGTGATTTCTGGGGCTGTTCTCCCGTGTCCATGTTCATTTATAGCTGCTCTTCATTGTGGAGGCGTTTGATTGTCTCCTGACAGACATTCAGGGTGACTGAACATCCACTAAAAGCAGCCATTCTGCCAGATGAAGCTGTTTGCTGTACATAGCTGGCTGTGAATCTGAAAGGATCGAGTGACTGTTTCAGGTCATGGCATGGCCCCCGGTCACTGCTGTTCTCTAATCCCTTCCCTCCCCTGGCTCAACCCTTTGTCTTCTCCGGTGGCCATTCATAGCATCTCAGCTGTGCCGGACACCATGTCGTCAAATATAAACTGTGTTTATGCCTCTTTCTTTGCATTTCACAACGAAAAAATTAACAATATCTTGCTGTTAGCAGGCACAGGGACATTGGTTTTACTAAAATCAGCATTAACCATTCAAATACATGCCTATTTATATATTAAAGCCGCTATAATCTATATTTTATAATAACAACTAATCAAATGACTAAATGTTTGGGAAAGGGGTCACTGGTACTGACAAACCCACAGACACACACTTCAGTTTCCCCTCAACTCACAGTTTAACGTCTTTCAGCCTGTTTTGATTTTGAGCCTGCAAATGCTCTGTTATGTTTCAGAGTGACTGCTCGTAGTTTACAGATGCTGCAGGCAGCTGTAGACACACAAAAAAGCCCTAAAAACTCACTACCTGCCCAGCATCAAATGTCAGGAGGGCAACGTTAGTGGCTAGCTGGTGAACCGAGCGGAGTAGTTAGTTTTGCTCTGAGAAAATACAGCCCATATATTCAGTTAATGCCGGTTTAAAGACATAAATATCAGTGTTGCAAACACACCAGACAATTTCATTTGAAAGCAGTTAGTGGTTTAGTATTCACTTTCCTAAATCTAACATCTAGTGATTTGATGTTGAATTCTGTTTCTTTGTCCTTCAAAGATGAAACGTTTGGTGGTGAAATTGCGCAGCAAGGGAACAGTGTACAAGAAGCAACGTCAGGAAATTGCTGAGCTGAAAGCTGAATATGGAGTCCTGCAACGGACGGAGGAGATTCTCAAGCAGAGACACGAGACCGTCCAACAGAAACTGGTAACTCTTAAGCTAACTCCTATGTTTAACTTTCATGTTAGCGTAACGTAAAGGAAGGAACGGATCCACTTGTCTCCTTTTTATATTAAGTCTTGTACAAGCTGTAAGCAAAAATCCATTAAATTCACATATAACCATTGATGAATAGGAAGGTAGATGAATAGGTATTTTTTTTCTTTTATGAAATCATTGGCAGTTGACATTCGAATGCCACATTGACCTACCATCATTTCTTATCCAATGAGCAGCTTCAGTCAAATTCAATTAGTTGCCCCAGAGCACTTGGGTAGTGGTCATAAAAGGTAGCGCGAGTAATCGTCGCCCTGCACTCGTGCTGCCATATTCCAAATGTGTCGCTTTCACTTGATCACCTCATTCACGCAGTTTGCTCCACCAGAGGAGATGTTCCTGGAAAAGGCTTCACGCCTCCCCTCACGTCCCAGCACCTGACTCGTTGACAGACGGTCTGACGCAGGCTGAGCTGCTATTTCTGATGGCTGCATCTGCTGCTCCTCCTTTTGTCTGCACCCCCACACACAGGATTTGTTAAAGCAATTAAAGTTTTCCTTCTGATCGCGTGTCTAGCTGCTGGTGTGTCTGCCCCTCTCTCTTTGTGTGGGATTTTACAGCTCTAGTTCTTCATGCATTTAATGCCAAAGAGGGAGTCAAATGATGGATGTGATGAGTGGGTTGCTCTGTTACTGCAACTGAGATATGCTGTCACAAAAATCTTTTTCCATTTTCAAAGAGTTTCCAACAAAGTTGTATCTTGTTGTGCACTCAAATTGTAGAGTCGTGGGTGGCACACTTACTGATGGTTCATGTTGCTGGAGACATTTGACGTGACTCATGATGGATTCACGATGAGTCCATGTAACCGTTTGATTTCACTGCTGAGTTTGTTCGTACACTTGAGTTGTCTCGTGTGTCTCTGTTGTGTTTTTCAAGCAAACTGTGGAAGCTGAGAAGGGCATCTCTGGCTACAGTACCACTCAGGAGGAACTGGAGAGGGTGTCGGCCATCAAGAGCGAGCTGGACGAGAAGAAGGGCCGCACCCTGGACGACATGTCTGAAATGGTAACTATACCAGGAAGCAATCCATCCTGAGTATGTTGGGAAATGTTTTTCCTAAAAGCCTCTAGTTGCGACATCCCCTCTTGCGGACAAATCATGTTTGTCATTCCTAGAACTCTGTGAAAATGCTTTTTAAGTATTTGGAGCCTCATCTTGGTGTGAGATACAGAGACAATGTAAACTAGGTTATTACTGAACATGCATGATTGTAACAACAGGATCAAGGATCATTTCACAAGAGTGAATGACATTTTTTTAATTGATACAATCTGTCTGTTTTCTCCCACTTTAACGGGGTTTTTAATGTGCGCTGCCATCTTGACCAGGACCCCCTCGTAACAGAGATGTAAAATCTCAATAGGATTATCCTGGATAAATATAGGTTGAATAAAAATAAAACAACATATTTTAATAGTGCTGCCCTTCTGACAAAATAAAGACCGTTAGTTATATAATGTGTGTATATTCACATTTTTATGGTCGATAAGCACAAATATTGTGCAGTTCCATTCATAAAGGCTATAGACAAACACAATACAGGGTAAATACATTATCCCAGCATGGCTCACAGCTTCTACATTATTTATTATGCCGTCATTCTTATGTGTCAAGGCCCAGAGGGAAGCAGTTGTAACTGATTAGGCCAAGCTCCAAGCTGTAGTGAATTTGTTGAGCCGCTTGGCAGCTTGTACATTTGCACACATTCATAATGATGGAGTCAAACATCCCGGGCTCCAACCTGAAAGTAGTCCTTTTGCGATGGCGCTGCCGCAAAGCTGAAACCTATAATGTTTTAATGACTGCTACTGAATATTGTCATATAACCTTTATTGTGGCTCTAAATGCTCTTTTTTGTTTTTACAATCAGTGTTGATGAGATTTGTCAGGTTGCACCTGTCTGGTGATAATGCTGCGTAACTTAATCACCTCAGCCACTCATTAGTCACATTACCTGCTGTTTTCTCTGCAGACTATAAATGTATTAAAAAGGTAACACATTTCAGCATTAAATACCTCTTAATCTGCTTAGTTTTTATTGTAATACTTATCTTGTTGTGTTCATTGTTTTAATGCGGTGTGTGCTATTGTCTTGCTTTCACAGGTGAAGCAATTAAACTCTATGATAGTGGAGAAGAAGTCGGCTCTAGCACCCATTATAACAGAACTGAGGTCACTGAGGCAGCGGTGTCAGGTGAGCATCGCTCGCATCACAACACCTCTACTTCAAAGAATCCTCACAACCTATCAATTAGTCAACAGAGCCTGTGAGTCAGTATTCTGAAAAAAACGAGATGCAATAAAACATACAGTGAAAAATACATCTCACAAACGCATAACAAAGCAAAACCTGTGAAAATAATCTGTTTGTATTCAAAAGCAAACGGTGGGATCTTTACTGTGATTTAACTGTGTCTGTGCTATCGTGGACAGGGTCCATTAAGAATAATTTACATAGTCCATAAATAAATTGCACAATGGGAAAGCCCCCCCACATCGCTGAGCTAAATCGGAGGATTACATTTTCCTACACGTGTTCCCAGAATCCCTCTTCCATCTCACTGGATGAATGTCCGCGAATGAAGAGCTGCAACAGGAAAACATAAATAGACTTTTGTAAGAGCCTGCTGTAAGTTAAACTGCTCAAATGCCAGCTGTGATGTTTTGTTCATGTGAAACAGTGCCGAGAGTGTGACAAGAGGGCTGACAATTGTGCATTCTATGCATTTGTCTCACTTCTTTAAACTGTATGCAAAACCTTTTGTCTCTCACGTTCTGTGTATGAGCGTTTGGATTCCTATCTTAACAGGAACTAAGCCAGGAATATGAGGACAAGAAGGCGCAGTATGAAAGTTGCACTGCTGGTTTGGAGAGCAACAGGTCTAAATTGGAGCAGGTATGGTTATTATCCCACACTAGATAGAGTATAGCTAACAATTTGAATATATGAATACATGTTTATCCAGTGAGTTCTTTTGCGATATGTTATATCTTTGACAGAGCAACATAGAGTATGCCTTTTGTTCTTGTTTTAATTCACAGGAGGTGAAAGCATTGATGGGGGAGACGGCACAGGAGGAAAACCGATATCATTATATCAACTCCATGTCTGAGGCGAGTATTTCTAAAAAGATTGTTGCCTAAAGCCACATGGCTGGGTGTCTAACACGTCATTATCAATGTTTCACAAGCCGACCATGGTAAAAGTAGAACTGATACTCAAAACTCTGAGCAGTGACTTGCTTACCCACATGGGTGCTGCTGCACGAGCGGATAAAATGTCTCCGCATTTTGAAAGTGACCTGCCTCCAAACACAGACTGTGGTTAAAAACTTTCCATCTCGGCCCTCCACAGATCACTGAGATGCAAATACAGCGGGCGGCTGAAGAGATGAAGGCCTACGTGTCCTCTGATCCACAAGAGAGGAAGAAGGCCATCAGGTGAACATGCAGAGCCAGGCCAGCCAGCTGCTCGCTGGATGAAATACACTCTTTACCTCCGACAGCTCTTATTACAACATAGACGGTTTGGCTGCTGTCACTTTATTCTCTCACACAGCACAGAGAGTTACCACACTCCTTACCACACCCTGTGATATCAAGATGAGCTGATACACCGCACCTTTTTTTTATAACGATGGGTGGCAGCTACGTGCTCGCATGTGAATGACGTCCTTCTGCTTGTTTTGCAGGGAAGTGTACATAAAGAACATTTCAGAGCAGGAGTTACTTGGCAAGGTGAGAAAAGAACTGACATCGGCATGGTAGGTGCTATTGTGTGTGTGTGTGTGTGTGTGTGTGTGTGTGTGTGTGTGTGTGTGTGTGTGTGTGTGTGTGTGTGTGTATAAACAGTGACCAGGCTGACATTGTACAGAAAAGTTTATTTTTACCAATCAGTATTTTTTTCTCTGTGGATTCCAGAAGCTACGTGAGAAGCAGAAGATGGTGAGGGAGAGCCACAGCGATAACATGGAGCAGATGAAGATGTGGCGTGACCTGGAGCAGCTGATGGAGTGCAAGAGGCAGTGCTTCATACGAGCTCAGAGCCAGGCATCTATTGGTCAGGTGATCCAGGAGGGAGGAGAGGATAGGCTGGTGCTGTGAGGACCCGTCCAGGCGGGAGTCAACTGCAGGTCACCTACAGTACATCGACTACACGGTTCAACTTCATATCCTATTGGACACGATAGCACAAGGTCTGTTTCATTCTTCACGCGGTTCATCTTTCCCTACATCAGTCCGTTACACTCGGCCAGTCGAGTGTCCCGTTATCTTGTGTAAGCACCACGCCGCTCATTTGAGAGTCGACAGCTTAAGAACACGTGTATCGGGAGGTGTCGCACGACTCACGTTTTCACCTTCTTTGGCCCCTGAAGACTCCATTTTGCCATATCTTTTGAGAATACCCTTTCAATCAACGTGTCCGAAGATAACAGCGTACAAAGTGGTGCACTCGGGATGTGTCCGCGGTCAACTATATTTGGCATCGACCACCATCACCTTGGACATGGTGTCTTGACAATTTTTGAATTCACGGGGGACCACCGTTACTTTAAACTGTGCTGATGAAATAATCCTATTATTCTGCTTTTTACATCATAACATACACCGTTGTTCTATAATAGATTTTTATTTCAAGATAACTTTCTATATTTAAGACATATTAGTTTGGTTGTCTCTGTATTTCTATTAAATGTATATTTATATCACTTTTGACTCATTCATTATAATAAAACATGCAACATTCCTGATTATGATAAAGACATATTCACATAGTTCAGTTTAAACAGAATGAGTAATACAGTGAATACCTAATACTAATACTAATAGATCATTTATTTATAGAAATCAAGTGATTTGATGATGATTAAGAGCATTATGTTGCTAAGTTATGTTATGTTGCCTTTATATCAGGTTTATAACAAACCAGATGGAGTCTACAAGAAGGAAGCCATTAAATTGTCAAAACGATAAGCTTTAACAATGATTACCTCATAAATCAAGTTTAACTACATGTGGGACAGGAGGAATTTGAGTTCCTGTACAGAAGTTTGATTACTTTTTAAATAAAGAATACGGCACAAACTTCAAAGTCCATACAGACTACGGTTCAAGGGCCTCGTATTGTTCCCGACAAATATCTACATGGATGTTTCAGCCCCCCACCCCACACACACACACACACCCACAGAAACTTCATCTGCTGTTGACAGCCTGTGTCAGGGGCTCTTGTGCCAAGCGGATCAAGTGTGCATTGTCAAAGGCAGCTTGATGTCCAACTGGGCAGTGCCATGTTATTATTTTTACAGCACCTTGTGCTTCTTGGAGCCCTATTAAGACGTGTTAACAGACGATTCACGCCAGTAAAGCATCTGACAACTATACGCCCTACAGAACAATGGGGGGTCCAAAGTTGACCGAGTGCCCTCTCTCCTATTAGGCAAACTAGCTCTTCCTTTTTTTAACCGTTGGTATGCTGATGTGGTCGACATGTCCGGCTGGCTTTATTGATTGTTCCTGGTAAAGAAGACTTCCTTGAGTTATGCACTGGTTTGTTTCAAAATGTCCCACAGTTTTTGTCCTCAACTACTGTAAATCCTTTGACTGCGACAGGCCTGAGACATTGATCTGTCGCCAATTTTTCTGTTCTCTATTCTGAGCATGAACTCATTCCTGCTAAAGGCAAACACGGGCCCCTAGTCAAGTGTAAATGAGTTCGTAATACAATAAGACATGGGGCCTCTGTAATGGGATGCCTGTAGTCTGGGAGAATTTGTAACGTAGTCTGTGAATCTAACAGGTTACACTTAACTGTGTGTGTGCAGTACTATTAGCTACGATATTGAGAAAAGAAAATGACATAAGTGAGTGTGTGTGTGAGTTAAAGGTACAAACAGGAGCAGCCTGGCACACCTAAGTACATGAACATAGCACATTATTTCAAAAGCCCACAGCTGATGGTGTTTTTCATTTAGTAGTTAATTTAACATGCTATAGTGCAGCTAATTATAACTAACATGCATATAACACATTATAGTTACATTCTATTTTTTTGTTTGTTTTTGTTTTGTTTTTATGTTTATAATTCTGTTCTCGCTCCTTTTACGGCAATTGTGACAGACTATAATTCTAATAATAATAATGTGAAACCGTGATATATTCAGAGATAATCATACCTTGAAAATCTCATACCATTACAACTCCGTAAGTAAGTGTTGTGGAATGTGGAATTAATAACATGTGTTGCTCCTCGTGCAACTTGAAAGCTGCCCTACATGGCACATTAAAATGATTTATTATTAACTAAAAGTAAGTAGCAATTATGTAATAATAATGTGTGTCTTTAAATTAAATACAATATTATACATTACATCAATAACATCACTTAAAGTCACAACACTAACTCTTATGCAAATGAACCCTATCGCTTCCTGGTTTATAACAAGGGAGACCGCAGGGTTTGAATGGGACACCATGTGGGACACACACGGATATACAGGTGCTGGTCATATAATTAGAATATCATCAAAAAGTTGATTTATTTCACCAATTCCATTCAAAAAGTCTATTGTCTTGTCTATTATATTCATTCATTACACACAGACTGATATATTTCAAATGTTAATTTCTTTTAATTTTGATGATTATAACTGACAACTAAGGAAAATCCCAAATTCAGTATCTCAGAAAATTAGAATATTGTGAAAAGGTTCAATATTGAAGACACCGGGTGCCACACTCTAATCAGCTAATTAACTCTAAACACCTGCAAAGGCCTTTAAATGGTCTCAGTCTAGTTCTGTAGGCTACACAATCATGGGGAAGACTGCTGACTTGACAGTTGTCCAAAAGATGACCATTGACACCTTGCACAAGGAGGGCAACACACAAAAGGTCATTGCAAAAGAGGCTGGCTGTTCACAGAGCTCTGTGTCCAAGCACATTAATAGAGAGGTGAAGGGAAGGAAAAGATGTGGTAGAAAAAAGTGTACAAGCAATAGGGATAACCGCACCCTGGAGAGGATTGTGAAACAAAACCCATTCAAAAATGTGCGGGAGATTCAGAAAGAGTGGACTGCAGCTGGAGTCAGTGCTTCAAGAACCACTACGCACAGACGTATGCAAGACATGGGTTTCAGCTGTCTCATTCCTTGTGTCAAGCCACTCTTGAACAACAGACAGCGTCAGAAGCGTCTCGCCTGGGCTAAAGACAAAAAGGACTGGACTGCTGCGGAGTGGTCCAAAGTTATGTTCTCTGATGAAAGTAAATTTTGCATTTCCTTTGGAAATCAGGGTCCCAGAGTCTGGAGGAAGAGAGGAGAGACACACAATCCATGTTGCTTGAGGTCCAGTGTAAAGTTTCCACAGTCAGTGATCGTTTAGGGTGCCATGTCATCTGCTGGTGTTGGTCCACTGTGTTTTCTGAGCTCCAAGGTCAACGCAGCCGTATACCAGGAAGTTTTAGAGCACTTCATGCTTCCTGCTGCTGACCAACTTTATGGAGATGCAGATTTCATTTTCCAACAGGACTTGGCACCTGCACACAGTGCCAAAGCAACCAGTACCTGGTTTAAGGACCATGGTATCCCTGTTCTTAACTGGCCAGCAAACTCGCCTGACCTTAACCCCACAGAAAATCTATGGGGTATTGTGAAGAGGATGATGCGAAATGCGAGACCCAACAATGCAGAAGAGCTGAAGGCCACTATCAGAGCAACCTGGGCTCTCATAACACCTGAGCAGTGCCACAGACTGATCGACTCCATGCCACGCCGCATTGCTGCAGTAATTCAGGCAAAAGGAGCCCCAACTAAGTATTGAGTGCTGTACATGCTCATACTTTTCATGTTCATACTTTTCAGTTGGCCAAGATTTCTAAAAATCCTCTCTTTGTATTGGTCTTAAGTAATATTCTAATTTTCTGAGATACTGAATTTGGGATTTTCCTTAGTTGTCAGTTATAATCATCAAAATTAAAAGAAATAAACATTTGAAATATATCAGTCTGTGTGTAATGAATGAATATAATAGACAAGTTTCACTTTTTGAATGGAATTGGTGAAATAAATCAACTTTTTGATGATATTCTAATTATATGACCAGCACCTGTATGTATTCCAGCCTAGTCCGTCCTCCTGCGTTTCTTCTTATGTCTCCCTGGTTTTGAGCGCAGCTGACGCCGTTCGTCCAATGATATGAGTCCACATGCAGCGAAAGAGGGGCAGCAGTGAGGCGCTTTGATAAAAAGACAGACTGTCAGCACCGTGCGGAGCCACTAGAGAGCTGCGCCACGGTAACATCGGAGGACCTAGACCGGGTGAATGCAGTCCTCAACGCAACGCACACCATTCTCGGGAGATAAGAGGACGCTGAGAGTAATCTTCCCCCGCACAGAGAAAACAGGAGTTTGGCTCACCACAACATTTTTCTTTCCTTCTTCGTAATTCGCGTGAAGAAAATCTTAACTGCGTAAAGGACGGGAGACGCGTTAGACCGCGGTGAATAGCTAACGATAGCTATCCCGAGTGTGACTGCACAGCTCTGCTGATTAATTAGGAAGCACTGACAGATTTAAAAGAGGAAACGTTAAGGCAGTGTGTGTTTTTTTTTTTTTTGTTTTTTTTTGTTTGTTTTTTGTGAGTGTGCGTGCGTAAAAGCTGTGTGGGAAGGAGCCGTCTGTCCGCCATGGAGAACGCTCACACGAAGAGTGTGGAAGAAGTTTACAGTCATTTCTGCGTCAATGAGAGCACAGGACTTTCCCTGGACGAGGTGAAGCGACTGAAGGAGAAATGGGGCCTAAACGGTACGAAACATTTACACTTTAGTGAATGAGACTTATGTTTTAAAAAAAAAAGAGGAAAAAAATGTCCTGTCATTGTAACATGGATCCAGGATATGGGGTAAAAGTCACCACCACCATCGTGCTGGTGTTACCCGGCTCCATAAAGTCATCGGGCTGACGTCATCACCTGCGACCTCGAGGGTTTCCCGTCTACGAATGAGCAGATTAATCATTGCTTATAGGACAGATTGTAACATTGTTGGGCATTGTAACAACACTGTGGGTTGATTCAGTGTGACGCGTTGTAATCGTGATTCAACTTAAACCTCACTGTGACATTGTGGACAATAGCTGTGAAATATGGAGACATTGTTGACCACTGTGACCTTTTTCTTGCTGGCCACAGGACCACTGTAGTAACGTTATCCGTCAAGTTAATCTCTCTTGTTCCAGGCTTAAACAGCTGTTTTTATATTAATATCACCCTGGGAGGTCATGGAGGGTGTACCTCCCTCCCTTTAAATCACTTTGACCTTTACATTGATTGGACTTTTCCTGTTTGCCTTTGATCCTATTGTGTAATAAAGGTTAAGGCAGTGAACTCTTAGTCTTAGTAGTGTAAACCTGACAGGAGAATATAGGAATCCTGCAAAGAAACATTTGATGTTGCTTATTCATTTGAGTTAATTAACATCTTGTTTAACAGTCAAAATGATCCACACACACTACTTTATTATATGGGTTTGATACAAAATCCCCCGTCTTGTAACAATAATAATAATACATTTTATTTGTATATCGCTTTAAAAGGTACTCAAAGACACTTTACATTGTAAAAACAGAAACAATAGAAGTAATTACAATAAGAACAAAATCGATGACATAACAGTAAGGAACACGAAAAAGAAAAACATACATAACTGAATTGACAGGTTAAAAGCGGATTTAAATAGATGAGTTTTAAGTGCATGTAGAGTATGTTGATGACTATATTATCAAAATGTTAAGAAACTGGAAACATTGTGGTTTGAGCTCAGAGCCTGGCTGGTCTACTGTCTTGAGATTGAGCTCTTCAAGCTAGCACTCCTCTAGCGGAATAAGTTCCCCATCATGAAACAGGAACTGCATGTCTCCAAATGTCAATTATTTTGTTATTTAAAAAAAAAAAAAGGTATTCATACATTCTTACTGTCTTTTTTTCTTGTCTTTCTGGTCTGTTTCCTGTGCGGTCTCTGGTTTGACTCTCACATATCCACACGCACAGAGTTACCAGCGGAAGAAGGTAAGCACTACTGGCACCGATATTCTTACTGTCGTCTTGTGATAACACAATCCTGTGATGGATTATTATTTGAACTCTCTTTTCCGCAGGGAAATCTTTGTTGGACCTTGTCCTTGAACAATTTGAAGATTTACTTGTTCGTATTCTTCTGCTGGCCGCATGTATATCTTTTGTAAGTATTTCACCACATTATCTCGCACTGTTTGATGAAACGCTATTTTATTATTCTGTTATTTTGTTATTCCCACTATTGCTCCTGTCTCTTACTCTACAACCTGTTGAGATAGAATCTAACAAGTTGAGGGATTCTCAGGACAAGTCAACGCTTCCTACAAATAGCATTCCCTCGCCACCTCGAGTGTGTTTATGTGAAGTCAAAAGTGTAGACGGCATTATTATTAAGCCCTGCGTATTGACTGGCAGGGGGGGTGATTTATGCCGTGCATGGTGCCGAAGTGTGAACGTCTTCAGTTTGTTTGACCCGGCTGGGGTTACACTCTCACATCAGAAAGTTAAACAGCTGAGAAGGCTATAGCAACCCATCTGAGGAATGGTGACAACAGCAGTAGCGGCATTGAGTTGCCATCACCATGTGCCAAGTAAGACATTTGAGTCGTCAAGCATGACTGCTGTGTAATGACTTACCCCGGCCTCCCTCGGGCACTCTGACTTTGAGTGCTAGATAGATAAAAGTTTAATAGTGGCCATTATGAAATGGCATCATCAGCATGCCTCAAAGCGCTTTCTGAAGCTAAATCAAACGTACATTTCCACGTAGTAGTAGCAACACGTTTTATTGTGATGTCATGTGGAAAGACAAGGTTTTATGTACAACCAATTTTTATTTTCGCAAAGTTTGGTTTCACTAAATTATGTTGAAAAACACAAGTTTTTATGGCAAAATACAACCCTCAAATAGCATGTTTTAATATATTACGCAATATTACACGTTTCACCTTCTTTGACTCGCCAGCACAGTAGATTAACAGACGGCTGAAGGACGTTTTAGTGTGTGTGTGTGTGTGTGTGTGTGTGTGTGTGTGTGTGTGTGTGTGTGTGCGTGTGCGTGTGCGTGTGCGTGCTGATATGTAGCATGCAGAGTCCGGTCAGGTGATACAGAGGTGTCAGTGGCTGCTGTCTGACGGGGGAACAGAGCACCACTCAAGACCAAATTTGGGCCCTCACCCCTCAGTGGGAGGGCTCTTATCAGACCAACGCTCACACCACCCTCAACATCGGATTAATCCTACCCATACTTTGATGTGTATCCAGTTTGAAAGCTAATTCAAATCAGAACCGTTTCCTAACTGTTGAAGTTGTTCGTCAAACTTAATCTCTGAACGAGTCGACATGTTCAGTTTACGTGATTCAAGTTGGTGTTGAGGGCAAAAGAAAAGTCTGAATAGAAGTCTATGAGAAAATGACCCTAATTCTCTCTTGATTTATTACCTCATAAACATGAGTTTATGGTCTCAATCGCTAGTTTCAAGTTTTCTTCACTACAGCATGATGTTCATTTAGTGAATGATGGCCCCATTCAGAGTAAAATAGATGATAAAGCAGAGTATGCTTTAGAGTGTGGCTACCTTGTGATTGACAGGTCGCTACCACGGCGATGTCCGGTCTGGGAGTTGTCTGTGTTGTCGTCTTACAACTTTTACTCTTTCAGTTCATGACGATTAATTATAACCTTTTTGGTCACCTACAAATGTCTTAGTCAGCATTTTGTTGTACTCGGCTCCACCCTCTCGTGTTTAAAAAGCAAACAAGATGAAGACGGACAAAATGACGAACTCGAGGCTTTAGAACCGTAGCCCACAAACCAGTGGGTGACGTTACACACTGTCCACGTCCACTTAACAGTCTATGGTTGTTGTAAAATTATTATTTTGGGGTTTTGGACTGTTGGTAAGTCAATTATTAGGACTGCCTCATCTCAGTCAGTTAGTAGACTAATTGGTCTAAGTTTTTTTTTTTTTTTTTTTTTTTTTTTTTTAATGCTATTTTCAATAGACCTCTGATTAAATCAACTAATTGATCAGTCAACAAAATCATACGAGCGATGGTTGACTAAGGATTTCTTTGGTTGAGGACCACCCCATAAATGATGACTATTTGAAAATGATCTATAGAATCTCTTGGCGGTGTTATGACGTACAGTTGAGCCCTACTGAGCGGTGTGCTTCTGTAATAAACTGCTATTAAGAGTTTCACTTGTCATTCCAGTTATGCCATTTAATGTCTTTGGCATCTCCCAGAGCCAGATACTTAGGTCTTACTGAGGCCGACTGCTTTATTACGTTATGTTACATTAACTACTTCCATATGACACACGGAGTCATTTTAGTGCGGTTTTCTCAGGAACAACAAGCTAAATGAGACTCCAGCTCAGAATATACTTTATGTTCTGGCAGTAAGAGGTTCTAATATATAGGATAGATATCCAAGTGTGCTAATCAGAGTTGCTACAGTCTTCTCGATGGCTGACATGTTTTCATTTTTTAATCAAATGCCTATCGAGAAGTTTGAATTCCAATTCGAAAGGGCTGAGCAGTTAAGAAACTAGAAGATAATTGAATTGAAACAATGAATAGAATAAATGCATTTAAATGCAAACAGAAGGTTCATATATTCAAAATGTTTGCTTGATCACAAGAAATTCTGATGTGTGTTTAGATGCAGTTCTATTAACAATCTCTGTCTTTGATGTCAAGCTTCTGGCTACGGACAAATAGGCTAAACCCTATTATCATCATCATTATTATTATTATTATTATTATCATTATCATTATCATTATCATTATTATTATTATTATTATTATTATTATTATTATTATTATCATTATCATTGGAATGAAACACTGCCGTCACCATCTCGCTTTCACAGATTTAAAAACCAGTCCAGTTCATTTAATTCAAACAATTACTTTGTGATGTATCCATCCATCAGAGAGGAGATTCTTCAGTATTTATTCTGTCATGAACAGTTTAGTTAGTTCTGTTTACAGTTGTGTCCTTTACTCTAATCGTTGTTATCTAATTCCTGTTCTGTGAAATGACTTTTTATATAAATAATGACGTGTTTCTCAAACTGTTTTCAGGTCCTGGCCTGGTTCGAGGAGGGAGAGGAAACTATCACAGCCTTTGTGGAGCCTTTTGTCATTTTACTCATTCTTATAGCCAACGCCATCGTCGGTGTGTGGCAGGTGAGACACTTTAAGCATCCGGGGAAGTCGCTGTATTTATATCGCACTACATCTCCTTTGTATCTGGGGAATAGGTCTAGAAATTATTGAATTGAATATTCTAGTTTCATTGTCTGAATCTAATCTAATGCGTTTTGTTCCAGTGAATCACATTTCATCCTGCAGCAGAATGATGACTTTACTGTCAAATAGTTGCACATCTTACCAGCTTTTCTAAATGGATTGAAACCTATCTTTATTGGTGTCACCAGACACATAATGATAACATCCTAAGATTATTTATTTATTTATTTAAACAATGTGTGGGTTACAGAGGCAGAAAACGTTGTGATTTATGTTCCCATTTTCAAACGCTTCACAACCTAAATGTCTCCAACCAAAACCTGATGAAAATACACATCCAGCATATAAAATCCAGTGCCTCCTCAAAGGGAAATGCTCTCGTACCGTGTAGTCCACCAGAGCCAAGAGCATGCATGTCTGAGCTAAGAGAAACTCAGAAACCTTTGGCACCGACTCTCCTTTTCTCCTCGACAGGAACGTAATGCCGAGGATGCCATCGAGGCGCTAAAGGAGTACGAGCCTGAGATGGGGAAAGTGTACCGGCAGGACAGGAAAACCGTGCAGAGGATCAAGGCCAGAGACATCGTGCCCGGTGACGTTGTGGAGATTGCCGGTAGGTTGAGCTGCTCTCGCCCTCGTGCATATTTAAACACACGCGGCTTTGTTGCTATGATTGTTGTCGTTGTATGCGTTGCTTAGACTAGAGCATCAGATATCCAGCCAGGAGGCAACATCACATGAACCTTGAAAGTCACAGAAAATTGGCAATTTAACGCCTCTGCAGCTTCCATCAATATATATTCTTTTGTTTCCCCGTGAAAGAGACTTTTTTTTCCCCACATGTTGCTTTTTAAAGATTAAAGAAAAGATCTGGTTTTTAATATGATGCTGCTGTCCGGCTCTGCCTTCGGGTGAAGCCTGCTGATCCAATCAGTCCACGTATGGTCATGGATCACATTTAGCACAAGCTTGAGTTGAACCTCCCCCTCCCCATCCCCATGTGCCACTGCAGAGGTGACTCACCCTGTAAGAGTGATGTATTTTGAGATGCTCTTATTAACCCATTGTCTCAAAGGGCTGGGCACGTATGCTATCAAGGCCCACTTTTATCTCACACACATTTTGAGCTCGCTCTCGTAACACCGCCCTGTGCATCCTCACCGCTCGTCCCAAACTCAACAGTTCCCCTCCATGCAGCATGAAGTGATTCATGCTGCCGAGTTCCAGTCAGCGTATTTCGGCAGCACAAAGCTTTGAGTGCTGTTTCCTCCTCCCCCCCCCCCCCGCGGCGCGTGCACACACACACACACACACACACACACACATACAGTTCTGCAGAGGGATGATCAGACGGATGTGTTGAGGAATGCTGATGTCCTTAAAGCGCTAGTCTTATCTTGATACTCTCTTTAACCCGTAGCTTTTTCTGAGCATAGTGGTAGGTTTCAATTTTAGCCGTCATAGGCCGTTTAGATTTGGGAATGCTGTATTTATAGAGGCAGTGACAGTCGTGAAGATGACGGGTGTCTGGTCCCACCCTGTGAGCGGCGCCCCACCCGTCCGGCTCTAGGGAGCATTGCTACAGCGTGTGACGCGGTACAGTGTTCAGCGGGACTCCTGGGTAACCTTGACAAAGGACAAATGGAGAAGGAGTGTACTGGGAATTAAAATGTATAATGTATCTGGTGTCATACGGCGTGCTGTGTATAATTTGGTTTAGGTTGACGGTGCTAATTATGCCATTTTTGATTATGTGAAGCAGAGTGTAGAAAGCTTAATTATTTGGCCACGGTTTAAAAGAGTAATCTGTGAATCAGATGGCTTCCTCTTGCATATAAGAGACCTGGTTATTTGAACACTCCCGATGAAGGAAGCTGCAGGCTTTGTTGTCAGCAGCTTGGGGCTTTCTCAAAAAATGCAGCCCAGCAGGCAGCAAACCCGGATGTTTTATCCTGCAGTCAGAAGAAGCTCATCAGCTTAGCTTCCTTCCCAAATCTGCCATATATCTTTTACAAAGGTTCCTGTCAGGCTTTTTTCCTGCATAATGTCTCGCTGGAGCTCCAAAGTGACCCCTGCCATGCAGAGGAGGAGCGCGATGACGCAGATGCCGGCTGCATGTCTTCTGGGGCCGAGGTAGAGGACACGGAGACGAGCCCTCTGTGAGGAGAACAGGCCGCAGGCTGCAGCCAATCTGTGCGTCTCTCTGTCGGGGTGCTGCTGTGGGTTTTAAACGCTGCCTCCTACTCGCTCCTCATCGCTCATCAGTCACACGCCGACTGAAATGAGTTCACTGTTGTGTGTGTAATGCGTTTCTTGGACTTTTCTCTTCGCTAGATTAAATGCTGGTTTTCCCTGTCCAGTCTGCTGTCCTGTTGATGATGAAAGACTTGTTCACATCAATGTGTGGCTCAACCGAATGATGCCGTGGTACATACATGGAAAACTAACCCCTGACTTATTCCAGAAATTATCTTTTTTTTAATTATAATGTGGATTTGCAGTCATTTTAGGATGATAAATGAAGTGGCAGTAGCTCAAATCTGATAGAGGATTACCATGCCCCACTTCACTACCGTTAGCTGATGGTAACACGTGGAGCTCACTTGCTCCTTCCTGTGGATTTAAGTCCACTTTGTAACACAGCACACACTGTTTGTTGCCAGTTTGCAGTTTGGTGTCGAGGGCTTGCGAATTTGGACATTGGCTTTTTCCTCGGAGCAGCAGAACTCGGATGGTTTGTTCTCTGCTGCCTGTGGAGTCTGGTAGAGACGGGGGCTCATGTGGGCAGCAGTATGGGGGGGGGGATCTTTCATCTGCTCCTATTGTGCTTGAGAGAGAGATGACCTTATAGGGAAGCGCGCTTCGCCAGATAGCGGTCCCACCCCCACCGTGCTCGATGCACAGCGACCCTGCCCGTCAGCACCCGCACCCTGCACACAGATTCCAGACACCATGGATAGTGATGTGGCATTTAATGTGGTCTGGCAAGCATCCATTGTCACAGAGGGACGTTTTTGGCAAATGTTCCCGACTTGTCAGCGAGACTGAAAGAACATGGTCTCATCTTGCCGACCAGGAGGGCTGGCTTTAGAAACGCCAAAAAAACCCTCATTTCTAGTGAAGTCCTGCAGAAGGGCACAGAGGTTTTTATTCGAGCCAAACCGGGGAAACTGGCAGGCGCAGAGCTTAGTTGGAGAGTACTCATGTGAGGTTCTACATAAACTATATGTGTGAACACGCTGATCAAAACGTTTTGGTGTTATCGGTACATGAATCTAAAGTATCGCCTTTTGCACCAGTAATTCTCCGTTATTAAAGCTGGCTTCTAGTCTTTTTGAACGATTGTATTAACCGTAAGTCATACTGTACTGACTGCTGGGCATCCATGCTATGCTGTGTGGTTAAAGATGGGACGGTGAGGGGTCAGACTTTAACCCCTGTGAGGCTTTATTGAAGGGCGACGACTGAAAGTGTTGACTTCAAGACACGAGGAGAATTTACCCTTTTGACCTGTTGTTGGCAAAGAACATGGTCTGTACTTAAAACTGATCCCAGGTTTTCACATTGACATGTTAGTGTCTTACAAGTTGTGTTGTTTGATGTTTAAATGACATTCAGTCTGCTCGTAGATGTTCTGCTCTCTTAATACCTTTTTAAACATATTAGTGTAGCAGTTGATCTGATTTGATTTGACATAGATTTGAATTCAGATTTCATTTTGTCCCGGTTAATGGACATGTCATTCCTGCCAGGCTCCACTGAAAACCATGATTTTTTTTTTTTTGTTTAACCGGAGGGGAGCACTAAAATGTTCCCAGTGCTGGGATAAGTTTTGTCACTATGGCAACAGAAACAGTTGCCCCGCTGCTGCTTAACATTCATAACAAACGGCCGGAGTGAAGCAGAGAAAGTGTAGAGATGATGCTTACGTAACTGAGGTCAGAGGTGAGGATCAACTCCAAAGTCACCTGACGCGTGACGACAGGAAAATAATATTGGTTTGTGTCTCCTACCGGCCACTGCTAACTAAACATCACTTACTCCGCTCTTGTTTGCTGATAAAATAGTTGAACTCACTCGTGATGTTTACCAAGTGCAAACGGAGGGCAAAAAAATTGTTATTTTTCTGTGGCGTCCGCCTTTATATGCACACCATAATGCACTACAGTATGGTGTAAGGTAGCACCCGTGTAAACAATGCATTTGCAACAAGATAATCAGTTTTATTTCCTTCCAATGCATTTCCTTCCTGTGCTGAGTCATGCTTACAGTCTCTCTAGTGCACCTGACTGCCAAAGGTGAGAAAGGAAAATCTCCATTGAGCAGATAAAGAGTGAAACGTTCTAATTATAAACTGTTTTTTGATAACGCATCCGGCTGGATAAAGTATTTGCATAATTGTGCACATGTAAATGTGGCTGGTGAGTTAATCGGTGAGAGCTTTGATGGAAAGTCGCCGGACGCTTCACCTGTTGACGGTTCTGAAATGGCCCCACTCAACCAGACAGGAGGTCAGCCTTTTGTTCAGCTGCCATCGACACATTTGGCCTCCCAGCTGGCCCTGAAGACAGTCGGCCTCCAAACCACGCGCTGGCAGAGGCAGGTGCCAGTCACAGCAAACCACTTCGGTTCAGCCACTACCCCGCCCCGCTGTTGAAAGGTCTGTTTTTTTCAAAAGGCACCTCGAGGAGTCCCGCCGGGTGCAATGTATCACCGACGAGTCTCAGCTTTTGTCGCTCTGAAATTTGTGGACTCTGGGACCCGTTGGCAAGCACAAAGGTGAAAATGCGGGCATGCCTGAGGAGCTACTTGGACTGCAACCAAGTAGGATGTTGAGACTAGATGACAGATGATATACACACACTTCATCAGAGCAGGTCTGCAGTTTAACACAGCCTCCAGACGATTCCAGTGTTTCACAGCGGCAGCGCCTCCGCAGTCGCTGGTTTCTTTCAAGGATAATTGTCGTCATGCTACATATTTCATGGGAGCTACTGGCTGCAGCATGCACTAGCACCACTGATAGAAGCCCATCATCCTAGCCATGCTTCTTGGCTCAGCACTCTTTAGAATTTTCAAATGATGACACAGGAAGTGTTGCACAACCGTGTGATTGTAAAGCTTTTTGGCTTCTAAGGAAAAGTTTGTTGGTAATCCCTTTAATCTCTTCCAGGAATATGGGATCATTTCTCTTAATAAAGTAAAGTGCAGCTATGAAAAGGGTTCCTCTATTCAACATGCATTAAGGTTATTGGTGTTTACCACCAGGAAGTTAACTGCAGTCTCAGTTTATATAATGAACTCACCGCTAGCCGGCAGCGCAACGCCTATGAGCCCAGTTGCGTGACCTTTGCTCCGTCGCTCCAGGTTCAGCTGGTTTAAAGATGCATTTTAATCCTTCTCAGAAAAGCTGTCGATGCCCGCTGACGGATCAGAGAGTTCCTGGCTCCGCTGTCGGGACATCTAATCAGTTGACCATCGTCCAGCTTCAGCTGCCATTATATGGCCACATTTAAACCTGATCAGCACATGTTCTTTTCTTTATTTATTTAAAAGGGACCATGTACAGTTTAAACATAAATGTCACCATTCGATGCACTGTACCAGATTGTAGCTTAAGCTAATTGGCATCTGCAGTCCCTTGGCAGGTCAACAAGGACAAGACATTGGGGGACATATTGAAATGCTTTTTCCATTTTTGGCCGCACACATTGTTGTCCCGTTGCTATTTTCCCCCTCCCTTCCCTAAAGGTCATGAGGGGTTTTGGATTACGATACGTGTCTCCCTCAGATGGTAATTTGGAATTTGGTGCATTTAGTGAAATCTCTTTACTGTGCAACAGTTTTGGTTTTCACTTTAACTTTGTCTTATTCTGTTTCTATCATCTTGGCACTAACATTACTGTTTTTAATTGTATTCGCATGTATTTTTAGAACGTTTCTTTTGCACGATGTCTTTTGATGTTTCATGTAAAGCTCTTGGAATTGCCAATAGCGAACAGCTCTGAAGTACAGGTGTGAATGCTACCGCGATGCATTCAGATCCATTCGCTCGGAACACATTTGGAGGAGGGCCGCTCACAGGGATCGACCGACCCGACTTTTTCCATCCCGATACCTGGGCTTTGGGTATCAGCCGATACGGTATAATGGTATCCGATACCAGATGGGCCTATTCTCTTCGATACCCAATCCATCTATATAAGTCCGTATCTGATCTAGCCACACATGGGCACATTCTTCTAGCAGTGTGTTGTGTACTGGGCCTCATTGACGGACCGCCTACTCGACTGCCGTCCTCTATGTGAGCGGAATTACGTCTCATTCGCCGGTAGAGATATATTACCAGTCCGTCAAACATCTTGGCCAGTTGGGTTTGCCTGCAACACGCCGATGAATTGACCGAGTCTATTTGTTTTGATTTCTTCTTCTTTTAATGTGCACGTGGAGAAGCATTTTCATGCCTGGTGGGAACTGAAGCACACCCAAGACGCGTGTTAATGCCAGCTCTGAACAGGACCGTAGATATTTGGCAGGCTTGTGTGGGCTCCTGGTTTCTAACTATAATAAGACATGGAGTCTTTTGTAACAATCTGACATAATTAGCATTTTTAACTAAGTAGGGCCTATATGTAGACTATGCCCACAGAACTGTGCCGTAGCCTGAGCCATTTCCCTAGTTTCCATTGCCTTTATGTACCATTAGCAGGTTGAACTGGGTCACCGCAATTCCAATGTACCCAAATTGGCCTTTTCCTTTGAGACGGGCCTTTTATGGCTCACAGGTCCTTAATTTCCTCCTCTTTCTTCGGCTCTCCGTCTCTTTCCCTGCAGCGATGGCAACACTGCTCTGCTGCTTGGTGGCACAGCAACCTGCCTGTAATGAGCATCAGTTTAGTTTATGCTAATGCTGAGTTACTGCCTGCAGAAAATAGACAACAGCTCATCTGTTGAATCTTCGTTTAGCGTGTATACACACACACACACACACACACCGCATTGGACCAGGAGTGTATGCGTGTTTTAATGGAGTGCTATTCGTGTGGTGTAAAATACTATTGAGCCGTCATATCTGATGCCATTACAATTTATTATGAGCCTTGAGTTGCAGACTTAATTTCAAATCCTTCTTTAATATTTTATGTCCTTTTTTTTTTGTGCATTTTCTGTAATCGCGGATCTTTTTTGGTTATAGTTGGAGACAAGGTGCCCGCTGACATCCGTATCTGTTCAATCAAATCAACTACTCTGAGGGTGGACCAGTCCATTCTGACCGGTAAGACGTGTTTGCTGATAATATCGCAGACATCAAATTCTTTTCCTTCAGCCGTTTTTATCAATTAAATTCTCAGTCTCTCCTGATACATGGGTATTATTAAATCTAAATCTGCTACAAATGTTATTGATTTGAATACATATTGTTTATCATTTTGCTATCTTTTAAATTTTTTTCCTGTATGTGGTCTTATGCTTACTGTTTTTCTAATTGCACACTAATATTTTTAGCACAGCATCAAGCCTATGCTATCCTGCATTTCACTGCACACATTTAAACCTGTGAGTAATAAATAGAAAGTCACATTTTCATACAAAGGCTTAAATATTACCACCCAGGCCAGCGCTTTAAGTAATGTATACTTTTTTGTTTTGACAGAGTTCAGTCAGCTGTTTTATTCGAGGCTACAGTCGGGTTTAATTTTGTAATTATGTTTTAGCTTTTATAATTATGTTTTAGCTCTACACTGACACTCCCGTTATTTCAAAATAAGAGCGCAAAGACAACCGCATCCAAGATAAATGGATCAATACTACACTTTCTTTTGAAGAGCGTGAATAAAAATCATTTGAGCTGGCTGCAGAATGAGCCCAGAGATGTATCATGACATGGTTTACAATAAACATGTTTGCTTCTGAACTGAAACATTCATGAGCATGTAAAAGATCAGTGAGGCAACATGAATGAGCTCTCTGTCTAGATAATTGGCTGCTTTGTTTCTTAGATCATTTGCGGAGACAAAATGATCTCTCTGTTGTTTTTGTAGGTGAATCCATCTCGGTCATCAAACACACCGACCCTGTGCCTGACCCTCGTGCCGTCAATCAGGACAAGAAGAACATGCTCTTCTCTGTAAGCTCAACTCTTCACCAGTTATCACACTTCCTGTTGATGTGCTTCCACTTTGTGTTTGTTTACTTTCTTTTAACTTCCTGTAAAAAAGAAACTTACGTCAAGATGTCCGAGATGATATCAGAGGTACTCGAGCCAACGTGTAGTACTTGTCATTTCAGGGCACTAACATTGCAGCTGGGAAGGCCGTGGGAGTGGTCGTGGCCTCTGGCATCAACACGGAGATAGGTAAGATCCGCGACGAGATGGCGGCCACCGAGCAGGAGAAGACGCCCCTGCAGCAGAAGCTGGACGAGTTCGGCGAGCAGCTGTCCAAGGTCATCTCCCTCATCTGCATCGCCGTGTGGATCATCAACATCGGCCACTTCAGCGACCCCGTCCACGGAGGCTCCTGGATCCGCGGGGCCGTCTACTACTTCAAGATCGCTGTGGCGCTGGCCGTGGCCGCCATCCCCGAGGGTCTCCCTGCCGTCATCACCACCTGCCTGGCCCTGGGCACCCGCCGCATGGCCAAGAAGAACGCCATCGTCCGCAGCCTGCCGTCCGTGGAGACCCTGGGCTGCACCTCTGTCATCTGCTCCGACAAGACGGGAACCCTGACCACCAACCAGATGTCCGTCTGCAGAGTGAGTCCCACACACACACACACACACACACACACACACACACACACACACACACACACTGCTGGGAGGTTTGGGAAGTTCGGTGCTTTGTCGTCTTTATTGGTTGCCTGGTGTTTGATTAAGGTGATAGCGGTTAGAGGAGCGGTGACTGCATACGTTTGTCAGCTAAAATGCTAATAGTCTCGGTGCAAACAGAGAGAGTGAAGTGTTCCTTTTGATTGGGTATCCGGCTCTGATACGAGAAGGCGACATACTGTCAGCCGCTCCTCTAATCTACATTGAGTCGTTGGATGACTTGCAGTGCTCCTGTTGCATAACTGACCTTGCGTCACCAAGCTGCCTGTAGTTCCTTTCTCTCTCTCTGTGTCTGTAAGTGGCACCTCAGCACTACTTGGCCCCACATTAAGACATTTGTTATTTATTGAAGTTTAATCCTCTTTTGTTGCCTGTTCAGTGATTACTCAGAACTTTTGGCACAGCCTGAAATTAAACTTTGGCGTTAATTTACAGTTATTTATCAAACCGTTGTTTAGGCCTCTGTATTGTTTGGGCCACATGTTGTACTCGTCATGATTAAGTAGCCTTGTGATTGTGCAATTACTGCAGTTTTCAGTGATGTATATTTATCAGGGTTGATACGGGCATGGAAAACCTGGAAAAGTAATTGGATTTGAAAATGGCAATTTTCAGGCCTGGAATAAACCCAGAAAGTCATAGAAATGTGCTTCACTCAAAGGCCTACCTGTATAATAAAGTATAGTGGTTCAGTTGAGATCGACTGAGAACAATCTATGCTGCTTAAACAATTCTTTAATGTTCGGACAGATCGGTTACGTCCGTCAGTCTTTCAGGTCATAGCTTGTCATTTTAGGTAAAACATACTGTGGTAGATGTTAACATGGATTTTTATTCGTATTTCATCGTGTACACACAGACCTTTCAGAGAATATATGGTCAAAATTGAATCATGCACATTTTTTGCTAAAAATGAATGTGAATGAGTGATTTATATATATATATATATATATATATATATATATATATGCAAAACATTTGCTCCCAGGATATGGCAGACACAAGCCTTTAAAGAGGTTTGTTCACACTGAAGTAAACTTAGGAAGTACATCTTCTCTGCGTCAAATAACTATTGATCACGACATGAACTCAGTCACACTCAAATTAAAGACATTTCAATTATTTTGCACGGGCCATGATCAATCTTGAAAGCAATACTTGTTACTTTTAGTACACACTGCAGCTGCTCCTATAAAGTACATTCAGTTGCATTAAATTGGGACATACTACTTCGTCATAACATTGGACCTTGAACTTTGACCCTCTTGCTTATATATCTGCTGTGCAGAGGATTGTATCCAGAAAAGCATGCTGTGCTTGTGTTCTGCAAAATGTTTCGGGAATGCAGTAAGCCATCTGGCATGCTGCATTTGACATACTATGTATTGGGACATACACATTTCTGTTTTCTGGCATAGGTAGTAGTGTAGGTATTGGAACGCTAAGTCTTTACCCATTTGTCAAATCATCAGACGGCAGCAGACGTTTGAGGAGGGCTTGACTGATTGTCATTGGCACTGTTATGATATAACCTATCCCTGACTAGCTGTGTGTGTGTGTGGATGAAAGCTTCTTGCAGGAGGAGGCCAGGCACGGCTTCTTCTTTTTGGGCACAGCGTCTGTCTTTACTGGCTCCCTGGCGATCTCTTCTGTTTACTTTATGGAGAGAAACCAAACACCCTTTTCTCACATTAGGCAGCGGGCCACCTAGCCTGGCCCTCACACAAACGCACTCTGTAACACTGCAGGCTAATCTACTGTCTAAAAAAAGAGATCTCACTCCTCAGGTGCGCCTGAGAGTTCTGTGGTTTCTGCTGCCACCTGCTGCGTCAGTCGACTAAAACACTGGCCGAATTAAATGGAGTCTGTTTGAAAAACTCATATTTGCTTTTGTCCCACCTGCTCTCTTGTCCTCCAGATGTTCGTGGTCAACAAAGCCGATGGTGACAGCTGTGCTCTGTCAGAGTTCACCATCACAGGTTCTACCTACGCACCCGAGGGAGAAGTGTGAGTACTTTACAGCTGACTCCATAACAAAACATCTAGGAGGAAATATCTCATTGATTGACTTTAGTTGTAGGTTAAATGGAGTTCAAGTTGGGTGTTTAAAAATATAGAATGTTCTTGTTATATGAGCTGTAATGCACGGGTTAATACTCTTGACTTTACCCTCAGGTACCAGGATGATAAACAGGTGAAATCCTCCCAGTATGATGCCCTGGTTGAACTGGCTACCATCTGTGCCCTGTGTAACGACTCCTCTCTGGACTTCAATGAGGTCTGAACCCTGCCTGCGTCGAACACAAAACCTACATCTACACACATACTAACATATACTTATGTACATATCTACATACACTCATAGACCGATATGCATCTAAATGCACATACATCATGTGCAGGGAGGGGTCAGTGGATTAATCTGAGGAGCAGGTGTTACACCCAAAGAGTGCAGGCTGCCTCAAGGAAGTAAAGGATTTATTCTGTATATATATATCTATATATATATCTATATATATATCTATATATCTATATATATCTATATATATATCTATATATATATCTATATATATCTATATATCTATATATATCTATATATATATCTATATATCTATCTATCTCAACAGTCATACCTCTTAACACCTTCATGAATATGTGTCACAGGTTGAAATATCAAAATGAGTCAAATGTAAGCATAAATCCCTGGGGAGCTGCGCTAGCATAAATGACCAGCACGGTGCCGTCATTTACTCTTAATTAATTTAACAAATAAATGTAAACAGACAGACTAACTACACTAATAATAATATTCATGGGCGTTAAAGTGACATTTACCCACCTGAAGATAGACGGGCATTAACAGATCATATTTGTAAACTGTCAATGGTGCGTTTCATTGTTTTCCTTCTTTATCTCTGGGTTGGAGGGAAATGACCTCCATGTGCGAACTTAAAATCTCTACACCGGTGTGAAATTTAACATGAATGTTTGTGATGTGTCAGGGGAAGGGTGTGTACGAGAAGGTCGGTGAAGCCACGGAGACCGCGCTCACCTGTTTGGTGGAGAAGATGAACGTTTTCGACACCGAAGTTATCAACCTGTCCAAGATTGACCGAGCCAACGCCTGCAACTCTGTGAGTGATGCCGGCTCCCTCACCTGCACACGCTGCAGACTTCCACTGCTGCCACTCTGCAGGTTTTCTTTCCTCACTCGTTCTGTCCCGTTTGTCTGAGCAGGTGATCAAGCAGCTGATGAAGAAGGAGTTCACCCTGGAGTTCTCCAGAGACAGGAAGTCCATGTCCGTCTACTGCACCCCCAACAAGTCTCGCTCCTCCATTGGCAAGATGTTTATCAAGGTATACTGAAAGAAACATGAGCGGAGGACCTTTGGGTGGTTTCGCTTTTGATGTCTTTGATGTGAATATTTTATACCTCTGCTCTACCAACAGGGGGCCCCCGAGGGAGTTATTGATCGGTGCACTCACGTCAGAGTTGGTAACAACAAAGTTCCCCTCACCAAAAGCATCAAGGAAAAGATCCTGTCTGTGATCCGTGAGTACGGGACAGGTCGGGACACCCTTAGGTGCCTGGCTCTGGCCACACGAGACAGCCCGCCCAAGAAGGAGGACATGATACTGTCAGACTGCACCAAATTTGTGACGTACGAGGTGAGTTCCTTTCATCTATCTTCTTGTACAGTTGTTTTGGATGTTTTAATAGACTCGGCCGTATTCGGTGTCCGCTTCTTCAGTAGCAAACATTCACTCTCGTCTCTCCGCGTCCAGTGCGACCTGACCTTTGTCGGCTGCGTCGGCATGCTGGACCCTCCCAGGCAGGAGGTGGCCGCCTCCATTAAGCTGTGCCGCCAGGCCGGCATCCGTGTCATCATGATCACGGGAGACAACAAGGGCACAGCCGTGGCCATCTGCCGCCGCATCGGCATCCTGGGCGTTGACGACGACATTGAGCGCATGGCCTTCACCGGGCGAGAGTTTGACGAGCTGTCGCTCCACGATCAGCGCGAGGCCGTGACTCACGGTCGCTGCTTCGCCCGCGTCGAGCCATCCCACAAGTCCAAGATTATTGAGTTCCTGCAAGGATTCGACGAGATCACCGCTATGGTATGACTTCTGAAATGTTTCTTACTGATCATTAGTGTTTCACAAGTGTTTTGTTTCTTTAATTTGGTTGTGAAGTTGGTCTTGATTCCATCTCTGGAAAAGATGGTAACATGGTCCGATCCGTCTTTGTGGGCTTTTGGAAATGTAATTTCCAAAAGCTTGATTTGCTTGTGTTGGTAATTACTCCTCCGAATTATTTCTCCACAGACGGGCGATGGAGTGAATGATGCCCCGGCCTTGAAGAAGGCAGAGATTGGCATCGCCATGGGCTCTGGCACTGCCGTGGCCAAGTCGGCCTCTGAGATGGTCCTCGCCGATGACAACTTTTCCTCCATCGTGGCCGCCGTTGAAGAAGGAAGAGCCATTTACAACAACATGAAGCAGTTCATCAGATACCTCATCTCATCCAACGTTGGGGAGGTCGTCTGGTGAGGCCTCGGGAGCAGATTGTATTTACGTTCAGACTTAACTCCAGCGTGTCGGTAGAGTTCTCTAACTGGAGTTATTTCTCCTGACAGCATCTTCCTCACTGCGGCGCTGGGCTTCCCCGAGGCTCTGATCCCGGTCCAGCTGCTCTGGGTCAACCTGGTGACCGATGGCCTCCCAGCCACCGCCCTGGGCTTCAACCCCCCTGACCTGGACATCATGGAGAAGCCTCCTCGTAATGCCAAGGAGCCCCTCATCTCTGGCTGGCTCTTCTTCAGATACCTGGCCATCGGATGTAAGTTGATAATGGAAGGATAATGTTTTTTCCCCATGTTATCAGAAGAATGTTTGATTTCCCCTCATGCAGTGTAGTCAGTCATTTGTGTTTGGTGTGTTTGCCCTTAGGCTATGTGGGTGCAGCCACAGTGGGAGCTGCTGCCTGGTGGTTTACCGTCTCTGAAGATGGACCTCAGATCACTCTGTACCAGCTGGTAAGTCCGCCTGTCTGAGTGCTCATCCTTCAGCTCCCCTCCGCTCATTTCCTCCCCCCCTCACTCCTCTGCCTCTTCCTCCCCACAGAGCCACTTCCTCCAGTGCGCCCCAGACAACCCAGACTTTGACGGCCTGGACTGCCACGTGTTTGAGTCGCCCTACCCGATGACCATGGCCCTGTCCGTGCTCGTCACCATTGAGATGTGCAATGCTCTCAACAGGTAAAGAAGTTTCTCTCAGTAAGCTTGAAGATCATCTGAGGACCATTTGCACTCCGAGAAGGAAGGAAGGAAGGAAGGGCAAACTATTAATGAATGAATCTGTGTCTTCTCTTCTGCCCAGTCTGTCGGAGAACCAGTCTCTCCTGCGGATGCCTCCCTGGGAAAACGTTTGGCTCTTGGGGGCCATCTGCCTCTCCATGTCCCTCCACTTCCTCATCCTCTATGTGGAACCTCTGCCTGTGAGTGTTACAAAGCCAGTTCATTCAATGATGACTTGATGGCGCTGTCATTTAACAGCAAAACTCAGAAAAGAGCTTCTTGATGGTCCAGTCAGCCACTGCAGGACACAGGTTGAGTTTCAGGAGTTATGTGGCTGTATGGCTTTCATTACAGACATGCAATGGAAGCTGATACATTAGATAGTTGCAAATGCTGTGTTTTGCTGTGATGTAACATGATGAATGTTGTGGCGTTCTCTCAGGTCATCTTCCAGATCACCCCTCTGGATTTGACCCAGTGGATGATGGTGCTGAAGATCTCCCTGCCCGTCATCCTGCTGGACGAGGTGCTAAAGTTCGTGGCCAGGAACTACTTGGACTTTGGTAATCAGCTGGAGAAGCCGGCCAGCAAAGGCTGCTCTCTGTCTGCATGTGCCGAGGGCATCTCCTGGCCCTTCGTGGCCGTCTCCCTGCCCCTGGTGCTGTGGATCTACAGCACCGACACTAACGTGTCCGCCATGTTGTGGCCCTGACTGATTTCACTACACTACCCTCCCTGTGCACCAGTGTGAAGTGGACATTAACACACACATCTAACGCAGTTACTTTAACCCGGAACAACTTACAGTCAACACTTGGGGGGTGGGGGACGGATTTAGTCATATTTGAATGACTTTGACCAACTTTATGTCCATGTGTTTTCTTTTACCATCACGCTTTTCCTCTCTTTTGATCTCGTTTTGAACAGTTAGGGATGCCCACTGGGTCGGAGCTGTGTTTGAGCTGTACAGAGAATTTACACTATTTTATGATAATTAATATTTTGTAATTTTTGGGAGGGGTTGCGGGGACGAGAATGCTGGGTGTGAATGGATGTAATTCTAAGGACCGTATAGTAAAATACTAATTTTTGGGGCAAAGACTTGAATATATTTGCCCTGGCATGAACCTCTGTGGTCACTTTTGAGCTCCATGCGGCGTCATTCATTATTGTTTCTGCGTTAGGCAGAGCACAGCTACCTCAATGCTGTTAATATGATTATTTCTACCCATTTGTCTTAACAACCATTTCATAGATTATCAGTTGAAGTGTTGAGGTAAGCATCAATTTGTTTTGCAGTAGACCCGAAGCCCTCACACACACATGCTAATGTTGTTTTTTTTTTAGTATATTTTTCTTTTCTCTGTTGTTGGAGGGAAGCGAGGACAGAGATATGTTACCAGTTTGATTCAGAGCAATTTTTTTTGATAAAGTGTTAAATTTGTTTACTTGAAAAAAACACATTTTTCTTGATTTAATAAGGTTTTTTTCAGTCTTAATTTTGCATCTTAATTACAGTTATCTTTATGAATGTATGTATAATGTGCACATACTGTACTTGAACATGTAAAAAGGCACCAAGAAGCTGTTAGTCTTATCAACTGAGCACAATGTGGATGACCGGTCATTGGAAGAGTCTGTATATCTGTACATACCACACAAAGTAGAATCTCTGTATAGATTATTCTTGTTGTTGTTGTTGCTGTCAAAATGCTCCATACATTTACACTAGTTTACTTAAGCCTGGTCTAAGCCTTTCTGCATGCCTGCTGCAATAATACCAGGCCACTGTGTGCTTTGAGTATTTTCTTTAGCTTTACAGCTAACTGTTGTTTCTTCCAATGCCTTCCACCTGTTTACCTGCAGAGTGAGTACACCTTGACCTGCATGCCAACTAGCGCGCTCTCATCTTCTATGTGGTTGAACTCGCAGCTTTGCCGTCCGTCGTTGCTCGTGTGAAAGGCGGCAACAGCGGCTCCTCCTATCTTTTGATAGGATCAGTTTTATACTTTTAAATGGTACAAAAGGAGGAACAATTTTTGTTTGAAAAAAAAAATAAAAAATGCCTTCAATGTCACCAAGTGCCAGGTACACACTGAGTAGAAATAGGAGCTTTTTGCATTTTGAACTCAGACAGGGTTGCTGGTGCAGGTTAGTTTTTGACTGGCAGCAGCATGTTTTGGCAACTGGCAAAGATGCTGACATTTAAGTGCCCCAACACCATTACAGGACATGGTGGTGTTGTTATTTTATTTATACATGTCTTTTTATTTGCGTTTGTCATTTGATCCAATCTTCTGCTTGCCCATAGCATGGCCTTAATATATTTGCTCTTTTTATTAAAATAAGTATAGTTTAAATTATTTGCTGCTCGGATGTTTTTTTACTTTGGCCTGTGATTCTTTGTGTGTGTCCACTGATTTGATTCTTCCTCTCTCTCTTCTTCTTTTTTCTTTGCAGCAAAGGCCGAGTAAGCCCACCTCTACTCTAGATTCCTTGCAGAAACTTTGGTTTTATTTTTGTGTTGTGCATGTGTTCTGGGCAGCATATCTTTCAAGAGCTGCATGCCAGTTAAATACTATGAAGACAGAGGCTCATAAAGTTCATACATCATTTTTAGACTGGCCATAAATAAATGTCTGATTTAAAAACTAGCCAATCCCACATCATATCATCCCCCCACATATCATCCCCCCCATCCTCCTGCATGAAGAGCCTTAGATGATACAATTCTCATGCCATCTTTTTAGACAGATCTTAGTACCGTGTACAGTAAATTGTACAATATTCCATTGTGCATGTCCAACGAATCGGCCATCTGTTTTACCAGACTTGTGTAATAGACAATGTATGGTATTGGTAAATAGAATAGACATTCGTTAGATAGTACAAATGTTAAATAAGCTCAAAAAACAGTTCATCTTTCCTAAGGAAATACTTTTATGGAATATTTAAAAACCAAACAGCCTTTTTGCTTTGCACCGAGACGTGCGTCATGTTTGGAGCAGATGTTGCCATGTCTGGGACGGCGGACGTGCAGCTGTGCAGCGATGCACACGTTCTACCATGAGAACGACAGGCAGTCCCTACACTGGCATTTTTTATTTTTTTTTGCCAAACTGCTGTTCTTTATTTTCCGAGATGATTGTACACATGAACTGTGGTTTTAGGTAAATAAAACTGTCATACATGAAGAGTTTACACGCTGTGGGTCCTGGTGTCATTGGGATTCATTAACAATTTAAGTGTAATGAGAAATACTACTCCATTCAGGCCAAGTGAGTGTTTCATTATTTTATTATACACTTTAAAAATATGTACAAAATACTATAGACATTTATCTTGAAGTAGTTAAGAAACACGAGTCAGTTGTAGGGTTATTTGTTTTTTGACACAAAGGCAGACTCAGACGACACACACGAAAATAATAAAGCCTGTACATTACATGATGCATTCTTGTGACAAAATTCAAATGTAGATTATATATTTTAAAGAGCAGCAGGAAATATGATACATAGTCACTTTTTATCACAGACCTCCTGTTTGCCCGTCAGACGTAAAGTTGTGGCAAACTGACAACCTTCAGTGTGATCTGCAGCAAACAAGTGTCCGTTAGGCTCAAACTAAACACTTAATTAAAAAAAAAATCGTTGCCAGTCTCTCCTGTAAGACATGTGAAGGATAACTCCAGCCAAAATCCCCCATCACACCAATTCACTCTGACAATTACTTCCGTCTAAATCTCCCAGTACTACCCGGAAACAGTCCTCCAGTATACTGAACTCAACCCCAAATCCAATGCAGGTCTTTTTTTTAAGACACCGATACTTTTTAATGAGTATATTTAACTTGAAGTTGTAATTTGCACTATTTGGGACAGTGATGCATTTATTCACACTGCCAGCAAAGAAGTGCTGAAGAAATAGGTTGAAGTAGAGTCAGCGATAGGACTTCATATTTTACAAATATTGAGAAATCAAGGTGTTGAACAGCAAATCTCCATGTTCTCTGGGGTCCAATGTCTGCTGCTGTAAGGCTGAATCGGTATCCGTATGGACGAGCTAACGAGGCTCACATAGCTTTAGGGTGAAGTGATTAATAAGGTTGTCAGAATGTTGGGGAAAAAAATAACATCAGTGGCCACGTTGTGCTGTTTGACGACCTTCGATGGCCAAAAGCTTCCGGCGGACTGCAGTGTGTGTGTGTGTGTGTGTGTGTGTGTGTGTGTGTGTGTGTGTGGGGGGGACTGTGTGTCCTCCGGTGGCCGAGGTCACTGCATCCCAAACCACTGTTCCTGATCAGCCCACTGGGCTGCTTCGCTATCGCTGCCCTCCAGATCCCCGTCCTCTCCGCTGCCCTCCATGTCGTCACCGTCCAGCTCCACCGTGGCATCGGTAGGACTCTCCTCCTTCTCCATCTTCTGCATGCCTTCTAAAGACTTCTGGTCATTGGGATCCAGGCTATGGAAAGAAAGAAAAAAAAGATGTAAACCGCACAAAAGAAATCCTTGAATTGTGCTTGGATTGGCAACTTATTCTCCGAGATTAGAAGTAGCAACCTGTGGTTACCTTAGCGCTATGCTGTACTGATCCATGGCTTCTTGGTAATCGTTGACGGCCACTAGGAAATCTCCCAGCATTCTGTGCAGGACACAATCGCTCTGATTGGCCAGGGCGTTCCTGAGGAGAGCGATCCCTTCTTCATATTTCTGTTCCCGACCTTCACAACAAAACAGGACACCGTCATTTCTACACAAACTACTTACGAGGACATGTTCATGTGAAAAGCAAACATATAGTAGAAACTGTTTTATGTACTGAGCAGTTCGGCCTTCTTGACCACAGCCTTGGTGTAGTCGGGTCTCTGGGCCAGAGCTTTGTCCAGCAGGGTTTTGGCTTTCTCCTGAGTCACCGGGTCTTCCAGGCACACCGTGGCGAGGATGGTCAGAGTTTGTGCGTTGGCCCCCAGAGTCTTATAGATGTTATTGGCCATCCCCATAGCCTCTCGGATCCCATTGGATGCCAGGTAACAGTCGATCAGACCTGTGAATGGACAGTTACTGATGGTTAAAAAGGTCAATGCCAGGGGAACAGAAATGTAATCTGGGAAGAACATAGAGACCGTACAAACATGCCTTCATAGCAGTCGAGTCTGCAGGGAGCCAAGCGCATGGCCTCCCTGAAGTGGATGATGGCTTCTTGAACGCGACCCATGTTTCTCAGCGCCGCCCCCTTCAGGAGGAGAGCCTGCACGCTGTTGCTGTTCAGCTGGATAGCCTTCGCTCCCAGGTACAGGGCTCTGGAGTAACGCTTGCTATAAAAGCTGTGACAACTGAACAACAGAGACAGATTCAAAAGGAATGCAAAAACTACGACAATGATATTTCATGAAGCAGAATGAAAGAAAGAGAGTGACCGTTACTACTTAAGAGACTCACCCAGAGATCACCCAGGGTTCTGCGTGCTGGTCTGAGATATTAAATAACCTTCCTCCCAGGACTTCAACATCCTCCAAGTGTCCTTCGCGGGCCATCAGGTAGCCATAAACATCCATTCCTGCAAGTGCAAACAACATAACTGACTTTTTAACAAGACAGCAACAAGTCTCATGTCTTGTTTAGGGTTTAGCTGGTGCAAGCGTCCCGAGCTTTATATTACAGATAATAACTGTGAAGATAAAGTAGGCGTTTACTGAAATAAACATTTGAGCAGTTTGGGACAGTTTGCTAGGTCAATCACTAAATAAATAAAACCTGCAGCACACCTTTGATGAGGTATGGGTCTAGCATCTGGGCTTGTTCAAATTTGAGGATGGCGTTCTTGGTGTCCCCTGCCCTGAAGTAGACATCTGCCAGGCTCACCAGGAGATCCACGTTGTCCCGCAACAGAGACTTCTTCTCCAGAGAGCTGAGACGAGACGAGGGAGACGCATCAAATAAAACAAGTCTGTCACAATACAAAAAACAGGAACAGTAAGATTCAGTCACTCTCTACAAAACATTACTGCTCTGCTCACCAAATAGTGTTGATGGCTCTTTGATTGTCCCCCGCATGTATGAAGGCATACGCTTTGATCCACACAGAGAGCCAGTCCAGGTTGGGGATACTCTGGATCACATCCATAGTCATGGACGCCACTTCAGCTCCTTTCACTGATAAAGAGAGAAGACCTATGAGGGAAAAATAAAGTAGAAAAGATTATTCAAAGAGCAGCAGGAGCAAGTGATTCATTAAGTCCAAGCTGAGATATTGTGTGTGTGTGTGTGTGTGTACGCATATAAGAGCTACATGTGTGAAGAGTGCAGACAGACTTGAGCAGGAGAGTCTCAGCAGGTTAACATTTGGCTGAAGGTGTCTCTGCGATCGTGCCTACCAATGATTGCATCCAGGGCGACGGGACACTGTCTGAGGACCTCTTTGTAGCTCGTCACTGCAGAACGCTCCTGACCGGCTTTCCTGTACAGGTTAGCCAGCATCATGTTGATCTGAGACGAGAAACAACAGCAACATCCATCATAATCAATTGTTGTGCTTCACATTGTGGTCATGACAATTTCTCGGATTATTATCCTTTTATTTCTGAAACCTAAACTAGAACAGTTTTGCCCTAAAAGCAGAATTTACTAATATAGAACCAACTGTAAAGTTTATTACTTTTACAGCGTTACTCCAGTTGTGAACGTTTGAATACTAAAAGATTACTTCTTCATAACATCCTAATCTATATTCATCTCTTCATTAGTATATTATACCGATACATTGTGTACACAACGTAGACCGAGGTCTCACTTGAGATGAGGATGTGGCTAAACGCTGCACATTCACATGCTGTGTGAGCAATCACACACACAGTGGAAGGCCTTGATGAATAGTGCAGCACCTCTGAGTTAACAGATATAAGGCCTGTGTAATTAAAAAAGGAACATAAAGCATGTAGGAAACAGCTTATTACAATAACTATGAGACCAGCAGCCTACCTTTGGAGTCCTCTGTCTGGAGGGGATCCCATCGAGCACGGCAATGGCATCTTTGTCCAGCTTCAAGATGGTGTAGCATTCAGCGATCTTGTACTTAACCTCAATTTCTGAGGGCAAACTCTGAAAGACAACATTATGTATAAATGTCATTTTTTTCTATTTCCATTCATGCCAATTCACCAAGTCAGTGGTGCACAATATTGTATGACACTATAATGGTGCAGTCTGTAATAAATCTGGTCGGACACACCGAGTTGTGTTACAGCATCAGACAAAACTTGAAGTGTTATGGAACACACCTGTGCCTGTAAGTTAGATGCAGCTCCACCAGCAGAAGTACGAACTTTAGATGTTTTGCTGAGTACCTTCTTCTGTTGCAGTGCCATGCTGTACTTGCAGGCAGCATTACGGTACTCCTTATCATGGAAGATGGCATCGGCGTGGTAAACCAACAACTGGTACTTCTGGGCCGGTGAGAAAAGCTCTCTGGAATCAAAGAGATATAAAAAATATTTAAGTAATTATAACGAGTAATGGACGCACCATAGAAAACATGTCTCTTTTGCACACATAACACAATGTGTTAGATGAAATGCTAATAGCACAAAGACACAAAATGTCTCATTAAATGCTCAACAATACAGAGACGAAATATAAGTAAATTTGTAGAAAATCAAGTTGATAAAAAGTTATAAAACCAAACTGATGACAAATATTCTCAAATTTGAAAAAAACAACAACCCTGTGACGCTACTATAACTTTAAAATTACATAGCCACTGTATTTAAATCAATCACTATATTTTCAACACAGTGAAGGGGAAATATGCATGTTATCAACAATATATGTGACAAGTCCTCCTCTTGACAACTCGCTGATCGGCTGAACTCACAAGCTAACGGCTAATAGCTGCAGGCACAATTAACTGTAGGAGACTCTTCATATGACTATTTCTTGGAAAATAATAAAAATTGTAGTCGTATTGACGTGGTTACGTGGTGTGCGTATCTTGCGGGTATCTGATGCTGCTTTACGGCTACGATCAATGATGTTTCCTGTTGTTGGCTAGTTAGCTTTCGGGCTGACAAAACACAATACGATGATGTAGAAAAGGGCACTCTCCAGGAAATAGACGCACCCCGCTCGGACATTACTTACGGGTTGTTATTACTCATCGTCAGCAACAAACTGCTCAATATCCGGACATTAGAGTGAAGGCCAGCGGCGGCCATGTCCCGTACATGATCTATTACATTCATTTTACGATTATGTTGAGGCCTGGCTTTAGGTTTCCGTCTCAAGTTAAAAGTTTGGACTTGTAAACAGCTAATGCTAGCTAGCTTGTGACGTATTAAATATGGCGCCGATCAACCTTCCTTCCGCATAATGCTGCCTTTAGGGACTCTTCACAAACTCGTGTTTTCAACAACTACACTAGTAAATATCATATATTGCGTCTTTAGCGAGCAAAAGCAGTTTTATTTGTATTATTTTATTTTTTAGAAAAAATAAGTGAAAACGTGTAGAGTGGAAATCAACATTTTACAGATTATTGTAGTTTTTTTGTATTAAATCTCCTCATTAAGTCGGGTTGGTGATGCAGACATATCTCCGATAGTTGTGAACGCAGCTTGTGTATTTGCTGCAGCAATATATTTCTATTCAGTAAATTCATGCAAAGCTACAAATTTAACAGCCGTAAATAACAGTCAAGTGTAAGTATTTTGATCTAAAAGAATATTCTAAAATAAATGATGTGCAAAGGTATAATACCATTTGGAGTGGTACATTTACAATGGCAAAATGCATATTGTTAGTAGTATTCCTTTATATTGTGCTACAGTTCGTAATAAAACCATAATGTTTCTCTGTTTTTATACCACAAATCAATCAAGGATTGCTTTAACAGGTATCAGCAAAAATAAGTATCATCAATAAACTTGCCAAATCAATAACAATGCAATACTAATACCATTCTTTATATATATTTTTTCTTGTTTATTGTAAATTTGTGTATGTACATTGAGAGCGGAGTGGAAACCGGAGACAAATTCCATGCCAAATTCCAGCCAATAAAGCTGATTCTGATTCTGATTCTGATTTTACAAACTCAAACAAAAAGATTAGTTCTTCTCACCTCTGCATGTATGAGATAATAAGACAGGTAGAGGCCCAAACTAAAACACATTCTAGGCCAGACATTTTTACAAACCAAATAACAATAACCACAATAAAAGTCCACGTAGTAAACAACAACAAATTAATCGGCAAGTCAGTATCGTCATCATACACACCAATTGTTCTGGATTTCTCAAAAGACAACAAAGCATTGATTTCAGGTGACGTTCTAGCTGAGACTTATAGGACAGTATTTTTATGATGCAGATAGGTTGCCTTGAACACACGCACACACACACACCGGCAAAGTGTAGACGCGCATGCGCACAGCTAAAGCCAGCAGCTGAACCTTGTGTCAAAACACAGAGGGAAATCAGCAGCAGGCAGCGCAAGATCTCACCTCGATTTCGGCTTTAGCTCTATATTTTGGGGGAAAGTATTTGTCGACACAAAGTGATTTCCATTTACGTCTGCGTACCATGACCGAACAATCAGCATTACTTCTTCGAAAACAACTGGCAGGTAATATGAATATAAAACACTGTAAACACATACAGCCGCTATAGAAGCTACCTACATAGCAGCTAACGTTAGCTACGCAAAGCTATGTTTACGGCATAGGAGTGAGCTGAGGAAAGCTAACCCAAGCAACACAATGGGCTCCTTTTATCACTGCAGTTCAGTGTGCGGCTAAGCTACCTTGATTAGCTGATCTCTGGTGGGGGAAATAAAGATGCATATTTACACGTTTACGTGGCTCAATAACACCAACACTTAACGGCAACCTTGCTAACGGGCTAGCAACTTGGGCATTAGTTAGCGGACGGAACAAAGGAATAATCAATCCAGGGACTAATCTGCTCTGATGACTTTCGTATTGCTAATGATAGCTGTGTGTATTCTCAGCCTTTTAAAGACTCATATGCTGCTATTTAGATTAGAATTACAAACTGGCCACCGACCTCTATTAGATCAATATCTAACGTTTCTGATGTCAAATCTGGCTCCTTTAGTGAGGACACGCATCTCAGTGTTACAGCCCTCAGTAATGAGTTCTCCTGTTGGGTTCATTGGGAAAATATCAATATTAATACTGGCTGTTCTTTCCTCGTTAATGCCAGATACAAGGACTTCAACACTGAGATACTAATACCTCTTATGTACAGGTGCAGCTGACCTGACAGTGTGTGTGTGTGTGTGTGTGTGTGTGTGTGTGTGTGTGTGTGTGTGTGTGTGTGTATCTGTGTGTGTGTATACACACACACAGATACAAATGTCAAAATTAATTTTGCCCAACTGCAAAAATCAAATAAGGTCATAAAACTGTAATACAGCATTCAATATTATAAATATATATATTTAAGCTTAACAATTTTATGAGGGTCAACATCCCAGACTATTAGCAGTTAGGGGTTCAGTGTCTTGCTCAGGGACACTTCGACACAGGACACGTAGCAGCCAAGGATCAAACCTTGCGGTTACCGGACGACCTTCTCTACCCAGTGAGCCACAGTCATAAAATTTATATTATTTTCCCAGTTGTACATGGCCAAAGTCACCTACTTTTATATAGTTGGAACTACTGTGATAACGTACTGTAGAGTCAGGGTGTACAGTCTGTGGCCCTGAATAACAGCATCCATCCATCCAGCACCGCATCCACTGATTTATCATCCCAGCCATGACTGATTTACTTTGGTTTCTCTGCGTGTGCGGTTGTGAATCACTGACTTTACGGTGGTTGACTCAATTCACTTCTTCAAGTCGGTGATTCACTTCAACGGGGATAATTATTTTTGGAAACCACGATTTGATTCAGCGAACATTAGCCCAAACTGTTGACTTATTGAATCAACTTGCAATGGTGTGAGACTGCGACTTATTCTCTCCACTCTTAAATGGAGAGACACGAAAAGTAACGTTTCTATTACTTCACTAAATATTCTGATACGATGCCAAACTCTGGAAACCTAAATATCTCCTATACAGATTAAATCAAAGTCTTAATAGAGGGATGTTTTAAACAAATGAATCACCATCAGTGCTCAGAAAGTAATGGTGTTAATTAAAGGGGTTAATACAGCACTTACTACGTATTCACTCTGATCAGCAGCTGCTAACCTACTTTGTATCATCAATACAAACTCAACCTCTCCTGCAGCTGCTTCACAGTTAACAAAAGGGAATAAACCAAACCTGCAGCTCAGCGTAGATGTATTTGTTCCTTCCATCAGAGGAGGCTCGTCATTGTCAACGCACATTCATTACGGCTGTTCCGCATCGTCATTGTTCTCTAAAGGTGTTCACTGTGTACCGGTTCTTGTGGTGTTGAGGGTTATTACAAAATCAATTCATGTCCCAGTTCTGTGGTGAAAAGAATATTAATCTTACTTCGGTTGTTTTTATTGCATTATGAGTCAAATATCAGGCATTTGTGTTTCACTTTGCCATGTAAAGAGTTTTGGTTCCAAAGCTTTGTTCTGATATTCACCAAATTCTTGATTACTGTTACAATACGTTTAACACTCTTATAAAGAGGTTGTTATGTAATATTGTGTGTGCTAATTTGTCAAATTGTACCAATTGTCTTATTAAATGATTATCTATTTGTTCGTTGTATTAAAAAGACCGTCTGCCTCTTTTTTTTCCAGAGCTCAACAAGAACCCCGTAGAGGGCTTTTCAGCTGGTCTGATAGATGATGATGACATCTATAAATGGGAAGTTGTGATCATTGGTCCACAAGACACCCTTTTGTAAGTGACAACATATTTGGACAATCATGTCTGTGGTTGAGAAATCTATAAATTACTTTTTTAAATCCATAATTTCTCATCTGTTCACGCTCTGTTCTTTGTATTGCAGTGAGGGAGGGTTTTTCAAAGCCTACCTAACGTTTCCCTATGATTATCCTCTACGGCCTCCAAAGATGAAGTTCATCACTGAAATCTGGCACCCAAACGGTAAACATGTTCGGCAGATTCTCTGATGTTTTCATTGGATCATTTTAAAGATTTTTGTGATTCAAGCTTTGAGTTTAATTTTAATGAAGGCTGTCGTCACATCGTTTTTCGCTGCAATTAAATCCGTGCTCCCGTTCTTCACAGTGGCAAAGAACGGAGACGTTTGCATCTCAATTCTGCACGAGCCAGGAGAAGATAAGTTTGGTTATGAGAAGCCCGAGGAGCGCTGGCTTCCGATCCACACGGTAGAGACAATCATGATTAGTGTTATCTCCATGCTGGCGGACCCCAACAGCGACTCACCAGCTAATGTGGATGCGGCGGTGAGTTACACTAGTCATGCCCGTCCCCCCCTGACACTAAAATAAACCTCTCTTTTCCTTATTGTTATCATGGCAACTACAAATAGATTGAGGATGTGTGTTGCTGAAAGAAAATCTACTGTTGCTCCCACAGAAAGAGTGGAGGGAGGACCCGAACGGTGAATTCAAGAGGAAGGTGGCTCGCTGTGTAAGAAAAAGTCAAGAGATGGCTTTTGATTAGGCGTCCGTTGTAAATTCCAGGGTAAGTAAATTGAGTTTCAGCTGAGTAAGAGTCATTTGTGACACCTTGTACTAGAAGTAATTCTGATGTTCTTTTTTTCTTTTGCAGTTAAAGGAAATGCCTTCAGAGGGAAAATTTCAACAAAAGGCTTTTGCACCCCTTGTTTTGCCAGTCAAAGGAATCGGTTGAGCTTCAACCACGTTTCTGTGAACGGTTGTCGTTTTCCACAAGATGAGCCAATTTGAGAACCCTACCAGCGAAATTAGCCCCGTTTCCTACCTGGAGTTGTATATTTAATTTTATTTATTTTGAAAAAAAATTAATGATGTAAGATATGTCACTACTGTAAATTAACTTGCTTTTTTATCTGCTGCTGAACAGTTTCTACTTTATACCAGGTTTCTTATGCAATTTAGTGAGTCAAGATTGTGTAAAACAAAACACCTGTCACCATTAGGTCATCACTCGTCCTCCCTGCTGAATACTTAGCACCAGATTAATGTCAGCCCAAACAACTCTCTGTCCATAGATGTGATTATTGTCAACACTGTCATTGAATCACTGCTGCCTTTAGTGGGCTTCACGTCCTCACAGTCTGCTTGTTGTTTCGAGGGACCGCTTGAGAACCTTAGAGTGTTATTCCGTACAGTCTTCCTGAGAAAAGGCCTCCTGCTAGCATTTTCTTCTCGCGCTAGCGCACGTCTAAGAGGTATAAAACCACCACTCTCAAATCTGCATGATCCCCCTCAAACAGCTCCGTCATGTCTTGTTGCTCGATGTAAATGGAATGGCTTACTCGGTGATTTAAGAGTCGTGGTTTTATAATATGTTGACTTGCACAAGCATAGCTAATGGTAACAGAAGGTTTGTGCCAACTTCTCAGGATTAAACTAGACGACTAAATTAGGCTTTCGATTAGCAAACCTCTAATATTCCTGAGCCCTCCCGGTCAACGACCATATCTATTAACTATCACGCAGTCTGATGTCTCTTCGCAACGTTATTATAAATCGCGGACAACCAAATACAGTCCACGCGGGTACTGGTTAACTGGCATCTGAGCGTACCTCAATTTAAAAGGTTCATACATTTGACGAGGATTATGGTCGTTTGAGTTCTTAATCTATAAACAAGGCTGATTTTAGGGGCTCCATGGTAGACTTAGGCTTTCTTACTTTTGCTGCGGCACATTTTGGCTTTCGATCAGCGTGTGGGTGAAGGATGGTGTGTGTAAGTCACAGGACTTCGGGGTAGATTGTCGAGCTCTTTAATTCTATCAACGTCTTGAGTTGTGATTGTTTCATACCTAGATAATATTTATCACCTTTTACTTAATCACTGAATTTGGGTTGGAATTCTTGATAGACTTGAAGTGAACTCACCACTTAGCAGAGAGTATAAATAAGTGTTCTGATGGGGAAAAAAATGAACACAAACCCTGCATCTAGGTTTTATTTTTTGAAGAATATACACAGTCGTGTTCGGGTGGAGTCTGGAAACCATCGGCTTAATTTGTTCACTTTCATCGATGGTGTTGCCGACCGTTGAGCCATTATGGCATCTATTCTGAATTATGTTATACATGATTATGGTCTGTGACTGACATTGGGGAAAAAAAATGGCTCACCATCTTTTGGCGCATGCAATCAGGTTTGAAGGAGTTGGGTATGTCAAGATATGATACCATTTGTTAGTACATTCTGGGTGAATGTGATGTGTACAGTTAGTAGACTTCTGTAGACTTTACGATCACATAACTGCTGTTGACATTACCTTTTGAAGTCAGAATTTTCTAACCTACCATGACCTCCTCTGACCGGTGTTCACTGTATTTGCACAGATTCGGTGCGTTTGAAATGTCATTAAGCAATACGCTCTGAAAATGGTGTGTCCAGGTAATCCACCCTAACGCCATTATTAGTTTTTTTTTTTTGTTTTTTTTCATTTTGTGTCAATGCAATGTATATTGGACATGATGCTCAATAAAGTGTGTAAACAGATTGTCCTGTATCTTTGTTTGTGTTTTACATTTTAGATGAGAACACACTGGGTTCAAGTATATTAGACCCCTGCTCTGTAATTGGAACCCAGGGAATGGTGTCAGATTTCAGAGCTGGCTTCATTTCACTCTCGGGAGGATCTTCTGGCTGCAACACGTACTGAGCTGATAAAAAGATGCTCGCAACATCTCCGACTTATCTACGGGAAATATCGGGATTGTAAGTAACGATGAGAAAGCGGGTTACATTTGTTGAGCAGCTGAAAAAAGAAAACCTGTTAAACAATGGAAGTGGTCACATCTCAATGAGGTAAGACCACAATGTGAGTTTTAGATTTGAATGGATGAATTCAGAGGATGTTCTTACTGCTTTATTTTATTTATTTTTAGGTCTGCAGAGTCTAACCAGAGATGCCCACAGGGTGAGTCATATATACTCCCTTTAAATGCTTGTCGTCAACAAACCTTTTGTTTTCATTATGGAATTACAAAATAGATTATATGAATGCAAATTATATCTAAAATATATAGTAGATGGTTGCTGTCAAGTTGGTGACTCATCTAAACCACTCTGTCTCAGTCATCTGCTTTTGTCATTTCTGGCGGTCTTTCAATACAAGTACAAAGGAAATATGAGCAAATTTAAAAGTAATTGTTTTGCAGATTGGCCCCTTTTTATATTGTTGTACATATAGAACTACTTTATACAGTTGTACATGTTGGGTAGTTTATAACAAATCATATTTTAGAGGCCTAGAAAGTTTGTAGGTAGAATATTCTGAAAAATAACTAGTAACTGTATCTGAAATGGCTCTGAAATAGTGCAGTAGCAGTATAAGAAGTATACGAACCTCAAAATGTTATGTGCTGTGTTGCTCAATGGTAATTGTTTTGTAAATTCACATCCCAGAAACAAAGGGCTCATGTGGATGCACAACCGAGAAACTTGCTTTAAAAATATAAAATGTGCTGCTTAAGTAACACCACAGATCTGTGATAAGGCGTTGTTTTGCTGCATGTTGCCTTCGGCAGGCTTCGAAAGTCGACCTAGTCAGCAAGTGAGAGAGATGTGCAGAGGAACACACGGGAACGCTTCTGCAGGCGGCCAGCACATGAAGACAATACTCATTCCCAAATCCATGATGTCTGCACCCTTCTTACAGGTAACCGCATAACACTGAAACATATGCTGAAGTTAGTTTTCTTTTTGGTATTTTTTTCTGTCACAGGCTTTTAGATGGTTCTAATTAAGGTGATTGTAATATTACTCAGGTGTAACAAGATTACTGTCATTCTGCCACATATAATCAGATCAGGTCTTGTTTCCGTCTCAGCATCCAGCCCTCACAACTGGACAGAGACGCTACCTTTGCAGTATAGCAAACGTGTACAGTACAGCGCACATGAGGCAGCAGATGAAGCAGCGCTATCTCAACGTGCTGCACACGTGTGTGCAACCAGGTGTGTATCTAAATGTCTCTCAAACGCAGCCTTTGACCACATCCGCTCATCTCATGTTGTGTTTTGTATTTTTCCAGGTCAGAATCCCTCCTGCAGAAGGAGGTTTGGGATTCACCAGCACAGAGACGATAGTACGCTCTCAAGGGATGCAGAGAAGGACGTGGCGAGGGCGAAGCCTCAAGGGCAGATGAAAAGCAGAAGCAGCAGCACAGCTAATTCTGATGTCTTACTTCCGAAAATAGTCAACAGATGACTGAAATGGTTCCACTATTTTGAGTGCAAGAATGACCTTTATGAGTCTTTATGTTAATCTTAGCATCAATACCTGGTGTGTTATTCCACACATTTTAAAATATGACGTTAAGCGTCCCTAACCAAGAACCGTGTGCAGTCTTATTTACTTAGATATAAACATATTATAGACCCCGCTGCATATAGAGCTATAGTTTCATATTTACATGTTGTTCAGTTAGTTGAATCTCTATTTGTCATTGATCATAAAGTGTACTTGTAAAAACACATGAATAAATATTGTATGGGATATTCTGTTACCCCTGAGTTTCGACTTTATATACGTTTTTTTTTTTTCTAATGATCTATCTTTTATTTATCAAATACAAAAAAATCATCACTTCTTATAGAAATTAAGACTTGTGTATTTTCATTTAGGAAGTATTTTCCATTATTTAGTGAGGCCAGTTGGAAGCTGAGATCAATACGATTATGGATTTGTATTATTTTGCACCTAACAATATAACATGATTATTTTTATGATTTTATGTCAAATATGTTTTTTAGCTGCCTCTGTGAAATAAAGCAATAAACAAACCTTATAGTAACTTTAAGTATCTTAAGGACATTTTCTTTTAGTGTAAAAATTAAATCTTAATTGTTGTGGAGGAACCTCTTGAAGCCAATGTTGCCCTTATATGGTCACTACTGTCTTTTAGCTTAACTAATTAACATACTTCATGTTAGCATTGACCGCTAGCGCTGTTAGTCTCGTGACTGACTTGAACTAGCTAGTTAGCTGTTAACCTGACATCAGCGAATATGAACTGTGTTCTCGAAGGACGTGGTGTAAAAGGTAATAGTAAACAAGGCTAGCGATATATTTAATTTGTGTTAAAGAATTTAAAAAAATATAAGTCGTAGCAGCTCACGTGATGCCTGTAAAACATCAAGTTATGACGAAAGACTTATGCTAGCTTGAATGTAGCTTAACTGCTTCTAACAAACTAGCTAACTTAGCAGCTATTTCCGGGTTGACCCACTTTTATATTGAAAGAAAAAGCTAAGTTAGTTTGTAATATTTAACGTTATGTTGTTAGCCTTAAACTCTGGTGACGCTTTGTTGTGTTACAGCATTTGGAAAGGCGGTCCATGCCCTGTCACGGATTGGAGATGAGCTGTGGTTGGACCCCATGGTCAGAGGGGTGAGCAGCACACAGTCCTGTTTACTTTATGGTATCAATCCCATATTCATGACCTACCAGGAGAGTAGCAAGGAATACTGACTCTCTAGTGTTGTTGCTTTTCCCTCCTCTCTTAATTTTTTCAATTAAATTAATGTTTTCTTTACAGGAGGCCTCTATTTTGGTCTCCTTTCTCCCTTCAGGCAATGGCAGCATATTCACCTAATACATTCTCTCTCTCTCTCTCTCTCTCAAAGCTGGCTCTGAGATCAGTGAATTCTGCTCATTCTGCATATGCCTGCTTCCTCTTCTCGCCGCTGTTCTTCCAGCACTACAGCCTGGGATCAGTATCAGAGCAGGGCCGGAAAACAATTAATTGCAAACTGATCATGAAGGTAAATCAGGGATGTTGATTGTGGAGAGCTCACAGTGACGTCACAGCTCTCCATGCACAGGACACATTTTCAGGATATAGGAGACAGTAGTGGAAGCCTAAAACATGTCTTTTTGTTTTTAAGTCAGTTCTACCTCTTTTCCGGTGTTTGACTTCCATTGAGCGTAATGTGGAGCGATGTCGGATATCAATCGGCACTCCCGATGACCGAGTGGTGATCCAGTTTTTCTGCAGGCATGGTAGTAAACATTGCATTTTGTACCATAAGCTAGCTGCAGGCAAAGGAAAGATTCAGGATTTGTTCAAAATGACCTCAATCAATGCTGTGCTGCAGACGCTGCATTGCATATTATCAGCACTAGGTGGCAGTGTGCTCCAAAGATCTTGTTTCTGTTTTTTGTGATAGGCATCACTAAGACCCACAACCTATGTTTCCAGGAAAGTGAAGCTCTGCAGGCAGTGTTTGCCTCACACCTCTGTCCCAATGTGCTCAAAGCTCCTGCCAGGTTAGCAGCTCAGTATCCTGTTATAAAGTCAGAACCTCAGCTTTCTATTACATACAACAAATACAACTTCAGGAGTGTTTTTATACTGTTAATGCAAACTAAATCTTAGTTATCACAATACATAGAAATCCATTTTTTTAGGCTCTTCTTTTCATGACAAGTGGATTTACTGTAAACATGAATTAGGTTTACGGTAGCTGCAAGTCTATTTTAATTGGAAAGAGAATGGGTGTTAACAATGTTTTTAATCTCAGCTGGCTCTGGGCAAACACACACACAACCCGATTGGCAAGGACATGATCATTAATACCCAAAGTATCATCCATCAGCAGCACGGTGTGGACACAAGGCTCTCTGCTCAATGCTGAGGTTGATTTGTTTTGCTCTACGTCTGCAGGCTTCTTGGTGATATGGTGATGCATTTCCCAGTGTCCCAGGAGGAAATCACTCTGTCCATGACTCCTCTGAGAGTCAGTCTGAGAAATCACTACGAGGGGGGAGACGGTGAGCTTAACGTTACGCTGTGATTTGGCTCGGGCCCACGATAACAGTGTGTGTGAGGGATGCCACACGTGTTAAAAAGTCTGCAAACGTAATTCTTCAAAAAACACTAAAAATGTTACACAGATGCTATTTGACTTGGATGTACGTCCATCACAGATCACATGAAGAATATGTACACCGAGATGTCCTTACACCCAGACGAGTTTGACTACTTTCAGATCGGAGTGGAGTCGGATATAACCTTCTGTCTGAAGGAGTTGAGGGTAACAAAATGTATTTTTGGAGGCTCCTTTTACCCGTCGCATGAGAACATCGTGTGTATCTTTGTGTGTGTGTGTGTGTGTGTGCAAAGAGTAAGTGTGTGTAACTGGCTCCAGGTGTGTTTCATGTCCTAGAGTTTCTGGTCATAAAAAGCGACTGTATCTGTTTCTCTGCATCGTTACCGTGTGAACTTTCCCCTCAGTGTTGCATCTCATCTTGATAGCAAAAGTAGTGTGACCTAAGTGACGCATATTACACAGCTACATAGACAATAATTGAAATTATAGGCCACACATTGCTTGGTTTGTTGTGAAATGTGTAACTTTTAAGCCAAGGAGGAATGTGTTTGTATTTTGAGGGCTGGCTCAACTTGTGTCGCTCTTAAACAGGTTTATATTTTGAGTAACAGTAACAACATTGGATCGGAGAGAACTGTAATGTAATTTTCCAGAATAGTGTGCTCAGTAATCCGAAGTGATTTGTTACAGCGTCTAAACGAACACCCCCCAATTTCATTTGCTTTCTTCTGTAGTGGCTTGAAAACAAAGTAAATGGACTTAACAGTCCTTGTGTTGGTCCGGTTAATGAGACTTGACCTGCATTAACACCCACAGCTCTTGTCCCCAATTTCTTGGAATGTCTCTTGGACTCCCCGCTGTGAAGCGCCTCATTAGCCAGCCTAGTCTCCTTGTTCCTGTCGCTTTTGGAAAATCTGGTTTTGGATGGATTAAAGGCCAGGCTCTTAAGTTTTAGTCGGCCTCAGTTTACGCGAGCGTTTATAGTTTTTATTCAGCCTGATCATTGTACACAAGCCGTAACGCTATTCTCTCGATTAGCTGTTAAAGTGTCACAAGTCCTGACTCTGATGCACACAAGCAAATCTCCATTTCTGACAGTAAATTGCTGCTGTTCTGTTTTCTTTTTTTAGGGTTTACTGTCCTTTGCAGAGTCACATTGCCTTCCGGTGTCGGTCCACTCCGGCGCTGCAGGAAAGTAAGTCTGTTGGCCATCGTGATCAGTCGTATCTCAAGTTTCAAAGACCAACGTCAGTGTGTGTGCTGCTACACCGCAGACACTATACTGAGCGTGTCACCAACACCAGATACTCTCACAATGCACTCAACTATTTAGTCAGTGGCTTGTGAGCCATTTGTACCATGTGACCAGTTATGGTCAGTTCTTCTAGTGAAACAGTGAATTATACTGGTGCTTTTGAAAGTGGAGATTATGTAGTTGGATTTCTGTCACTGTTGGATGTCTGTCAGTGTGTCCTGGGTGTTGGCAGGCCTGTGTGCTTCTCTGTGGAGGACTTGGTGCTGGAGGCCACTGTGGTGCTGGCTACTCTGATGGACTCTGAAAACAGGGGCCCCTCTCAGCCGACGGAGACGCAGGCCCCTACTACACCCAGGTAACAAAACCACTTTGCCCTAATTGGCTGTTTTTAGCTTCCTAAGAGGGCATCGTATTACAGCAGACGGCCTTGTGTCTGGAACGGAGATAAACAGGGCAAGTGCAGGACATGTGGGGTTAGAGGCCCGTCAGTGGGACAGTCTGTAATCCTCTCAGCTCCTCTATGCTAGCCTAGCGTCGCTGCTCTGCTAACTCTCTCTGTTGCTCTGTGTTCTGGGTGGATCCGGTCCGACTGTTTAACATCTGGGTCATGTGGCTTAGTTTGCGTGTGTGCACTGCCGGGAGTCTGCAGAGACATCGCTAACCTAATGAGCAGGCAGCTCTGCAGTGCTCAGGAGTTCAACGACAACCTGCACTCAACTTGTTTTTCCATGAGTCACTCAGGCTACATTTTTTAAACTCATATTTGTGGCACGCTCGTAAACAAAACGTGCTCGTCTGCTACCTCGGGCCTTTGTGAAGTAGAACTAAAAGAGCCCGAGGGTGTCTGGAGACTCGTCTTCCTGCAGTGCTCCTCTTTACACTTCTGGTCTGGCTGCTTCTCTGAGGTTACCGACATGCGCTGTGGTCACATGCAAAGTGTTTTGTTACTGAGCATAAAGCCACTTTCAGTATCAGCAGATAGAGAGCTATACACCCTGTTCACGAATGTCTTGGTAAAGACGAAGTCACACAATGTTCTCCAACATTGAAACCCCTTCAGTTGATAATGATGGCATGTTTATGATCGTTATTCTATTTGACTGTTTTAGTGTCAAAGAATATCTTGGTTATTGAATGTTTTACTGTGACTTCACCGTGTCGTCTGCTTAGGAACGTAATTGTTACTTTGCTGCTGCTATAAAACATGGCACTGAACAACGCAATAACAGCGTCACGTCTATTTTTGCCCGCATAGGAAGTGATTATTAAGTTGAATGCGTGCCACAGAGATCAGTGTGCTGTGTGTGTTTTCCTCAGGTGTGCTGGTGGTCTACCTGTGGGTTCACGGGAGGCCGACAGCAGGAAGCCTCAGGGTACTCCTGCTGTGATGGAGCTGATAGCCTCCAGCCAGGGCAGCCCCATCACCAACCCATCGGCTCTGATGCTGCTTCTGCATCAGACAGACGACTTGAACAAGCTGGTAGCTGATGAGGCCTGTGTCAGCGCCACCACGACGCCGGCTTCCTCCACGGTAACTAGAGCTTCCTGTTGACTTAGGACTGGAGCTTGTTCTCTGATGCTGGCAGGCTTTACACTTTTGACAGGATGGGTGTCGTGAAGTGCCTCAAGTGTTTTACTTAAACCTCTATTGGAAGTATGCCCAGAGTGCCATGTTGCCTCACCATATGAGGCATGACTGAAGGAGACCAGAAATGTGACACTGGATGTGAGAGATGAGGTCTATGTCACAATGATGAGTCTAACCTTTTTGTTGCAACCACAGTCAGGAAGTCAGAAACAGTCTGTCTCTTCCTGGAGCACCTGGTTTTGCTCCACTGTGTTGAATGTTTTGGTCTGGGAATCTTTGTTTTAATATATTATGTTGTCAGACCAGTTCCCAGAGATCTGATGCAGCGTTCATTTAGTTTTATATTGCATTAAGAGCATTTACATTAACTCAAGTTATAAGAAATAGAAATATGATGCACTGAAATATTGTTTTAAGAAGACTGTACATCAATCTCACTCAAGTTGCACTCACACAGAGACTTGAACTTGAAAAGAAAATGACTTGTGAGCATCTGAGTTTGGGAGCTTAAGTTACAGAATGAGATGTAATTATACGATACGGTTACACAGTTATTGAAAGATCGGTTACAGTTGTTGCAGGCCTAATGTAGCAATATCTTCCTGTTATCCTGAGTATTGTTAGTCTATATCCATTTATAGGGGCAAAATACTTAACTAAATATTCCAACAGCCTGTTGACAGTGATCATATACCAAACAACTAATCAAGGCTGATGCAACTCGATAAGACTCTTGAGACTTGTTGTCCACTAACGCGTGTTGTCTCCATCTCTAGATCTGCTCCCTCCTGTTCAGAGCCTTGTCATCTGAGCAGGACAACAACACACTGCCTGTTCTAGCATGTTACAGTGACGAAGAGGAAGAGAAGACGAGGAGCCCTACACCCTGAGAACAGCTGTTACTCACGACTACGTTTCTCACCTCATGTTTGGTCTTACCTGTTAAAGGTAGGCCGCAACATTCAGCTGCACGCAGAATGAAAAAATACAAATAATTTAGATCCTATCTACTTTGAATGTGAGCGATTTATAGCTCAAAAAAAGTTGCTTTGCTTGTTTGAATTGTTTTCAAAGTGTTAAGTTTCCCCACAAGAGTGTTTTTATAATTATTTATTCAAATACATAAATTAATTTATTTTGGCATCTTCAGTGTGTGAAATATGTTTCTCCTAACATGTTAGAGGAAAAAAGACTATTTGGTCTTCTGCTTGAAGATGCCACACCTGTCTGTTGATGGTACCTGGTAGTATGCCCAACATCTGAGGAATGTGGGCGTTCTCACACGCATACACACACTGTAAGTACAAGGCGTCCTTAAGATTAATATTTTCTGGCTTGCACAACAGTCTAGATGAGAAAGTAGAACCCTGGAGGCCTCTGCAGCATGTGGTTTAGATAGTCCTGTTCCAAAACTAACAAGTCCATGCTCATATCAAGGCCATCAAACACAACAGGATAATAATAAATACTATACTCTTTATTTAAATATTGTACAGGTTTTTCCACAGAGCTTAGATCTTCATTGAACTGTACACCCAAAATATATACAGACACACGCTCTGGTTGTAAGAAAGGGTTTGTAGGAGGAAGATGAGGGGAGGGGGGGGGGGGGGTCAGGAAGTACCAGCTGATTGGGAGAATTGCTTTGTAATGTTAAGGCTGCTTAGATTGTCCTCAGTGCTAGAAAACTAACATTTTGACCACTCACCAATGTCACCTGACACTGCAGTCAATCCTCCAGCGGGAACTTGTCAGATTAAGTAAAGAAACAGTCAGTTAGTGCAGATTGTAAACGGGGATCTGAAGATCCACAGGGAGGGTTTTCTAAGCGTGCAATGGCTTCATCACTATCCCTAAAGTCCTGACTGAGTGCAGAGGAGCACATTCAGGAGATAAAAGGAACCGTCTAAGTGTTAAGACAGCAGGGCGTGCTGGGGAAGCCGCTTGGACTCTTATGGCTACGCAACGCTCAACACCTGGCACATTAAGGAGTTACGGACCTTTATCCAGTATCAACGACACCAGATACAAGGCACATCATTAGAACGTTACACAAAGTTGGTAGTAAATGCAGAGTGCAAATTTGTTGTGATGTAATGGAAACATGAAACCTGCAGTGACCCGACTTCTGAACGTGCCATCGGAGCTCTACAGCAGGAGGGAGAGAGAAGAAGAAAAGGAATCTCTGATTGTGAACAACAGTCTCTCGAGCTACTCTGATGCGGCGATCAGTCCAAAAGAATTCAACAATCCCACCGAACAAAGAAGTTACAAAAATACATTTGGTCACCTGAACAACCTCCACTTGTGTTGATCGTTCTCAGATATGCTTATTAAGATTTGTGCGTTTAAGGCCGCGACACCGATCAGCCCAGACGCTAGTAATTACGTCACGTCAGTAGACTCACTGACGAGCATTCATCTCACACATTCACATCACATGTGATCAAGACTTCAGCAGCAGCTGTGAGATTAAAGGGAGGGTATCAGTTTGACACAATAGATCTCAACTATGAAATCCTTTTAACAGCCACGAAGTAACAAAGACTTGAATTGGTTTAGAAAAGATGGCCGCTGCTCTTCTTCATGAAACATTATTGGATCAACCTGCCAAGAAACTAACCACAGACGTATATAAATGTCACATAAACGCTTTTTTTTTGCAAATATTTATCCAAACATCCCAGAACACCGGTCATTCCCTACTACCAAACACAATGCTCCCCACACACATATACACACAAGGTTCCAGGCCCTTTGACGGAGGTTTTCCTTCTACCAACATTAGAAACCTCTTCTTGCACAAAGCAGTCCATTTATTGAGCCCTAATGCTGCCATCTCGGCACTCACTCCTCATGGACTGGATCTTCCTCTTCCAGGTGCTCAGCATGGGGCTGCTTTAACAGTCTTAACACCTCCCGTCTCAACCCCCCCCCCCCCCCCCCCATCAGAGAAAGATGACTTATCCTTGTCCGACAGGATCCTCATCTCCACCAATGACTGCTCATCCCCGTCAATGGGATTATCCGGTGAGCACTGGAACGCTGCAAAGATGCCAACACTGCAGCCCGGCCAGGAGGACGCGTCAGCCCTCCAGTCCCCTTTATTCAGCCGCTCTCTAATGCACACAATCAGAGAAGTGGGCATGTAGGCGGTTTTTTTGGGGGGAGGGGGGGGGGGATGAGGCAGAGTAGAGCATCCCACATCAGTCCTTCATCCTGGCCAGCAGGAATCAAAGCAGTCCACCACATGCAGAGTCACAACCCCACACCACCTCTAGTCGGTGTATTCGGCCACTATAGACAGCAGCACTGTGATGTCATCTGGCTTTCCTCCTGCACCAAAAAAAAAAGAACAATATCCTGTTAGGATGGAGTTAAGAGATAATATTGTTTTCAACATTTCACCCTAGAAAATCTTCATGTCATGCCCCACTGTCGTCCTATTTAAAACATCTTCACATTCCAGTTGGTCCGAGTCGAGCGAGACACGAACCTCTAACATTCAGTCCGTTGTCACAGGCAAACTGGGCAAAAGGCGACATGTAGTTGGGGTCGTACGCCAGGACGTGGGCCTGCTCTGCGATGCTCCGGGCCGTCTGCTGGATGCTCTCGTAGTTTGAGTTCTATGACGCAAACAAAAACAAAGCGGGCATGAAGGTCGTAATCCAGATATACTGTACGTCTGATTCCATCAAGCCTGTCCGGGCCTCAGTGGGGACTCACCTTGAGTTTCTTCAGCTCCTGCAGGATCATGTAGTCGGGCATGTTGTCGAAGAGCCCGTCGGTGGCGGTGAGGATGATGTCGCCCAGCTGGACGTCGAAGGATGAGCTGTCTGCTGCGTCGGGGCTGCCGGCACCAACACAGTTAAGTCAGGCAGAGAACACCGACCGCAATGATCCTCTCGGTCATTTAAGTGATACGGGATTTAAAATGTGTTTTCTCTCACAGCGAAAAACTAAAAATACAAAACTTAGCGCAAGGTTGTGACCGCATTAATTCATCCGCTTTAAGCTTCTTCCCCATCCCTTTTACACCCCCCCCCCCCCCCCCAGCCAGTCACGAATGTGAGTCATTACAACCTCTCTGGGCTGCATCATGACACACTGAGCCAAAGCCCTCAGGGACAGCCCGTTCTGTCCTGTGACTTCGAGGTCGCCAAAATTGCAGCTCACAAGAACAGCCAGGTAGAGCCGTAGAGAGAGAGAGTACTGCTGAGGCATTATGGGAGCACCCACGGTTAGATATGAGAAACTTCTCCGATGGAGGTTTTGGGTGAGCAGCTGTCATTGGAATGAATTTGGCTGCCTTGTCTGGATTCATCATCCATTGTTTGACACATCCGTGAGCCAGAGCCACTTCTCACATGCCAAGGACAAACCGATTGGATGATTATTCAGCGATGGCTCCATTAACGTCTTATCACCAATTATAATTATGAAGATTAATCCTCAGGCGAAATGAGAGGGTCAAGCATCCCGCATTAAAATACACATCAGTGTTAATCACACGTCTCTTCCAGAAGTACACGGCGTCACCGTCTCCTTTGGCACATCAACATGCTCCAAATCGTTTATCTTTTAATGAACCTTTTTTTATTTTGCTGTCAAAGGAATACTATTAGAGATCTTCAGTTCTGACCCTTGCACTCTTTTCAGTTAGTTGCCCTGTTAGTGATCTAGCGTTGGAAAGCTTAATCTGCTGCTGCACTCAGTGTTAATCCAGCTGAGGAAATCTTTCAACTAAAAAAGCACAAATTTAAACAGCAAGTGTCATTTTAAGAACCGCATTAAATGCACAACAACTGGAAGTGACGAGGAGACTGTATTAAGGTTTAAAAATAAGTCAAATAAAACACTAATTGACGTGCGTTTCAGGTTCATTTAACTTCCGTTCTTTCAGAAATGCTTTTTAAGAGGCTCAATGTAATCTGAGTTCTAGACGGAATGAGTGAAACGGTGGCTGAGCTGCTGCTGCAGGATTGGCTGTGGACTCTTCGCTCGGCAAACACCCAGCGCTCGCCCCGCGCTCGCCCCGCACTCTACCGACGTGGCCCGCCCCGCACTCTACCGACGTGGCCCCGCGACGGACGGACGCCGCCCCCGAGCGTCTCACCTGTCATTGAGGACGGCTCCCTCGGCTCCCGGCGGGGCGATGGACAGCTGGAAGGGCGTGTTGAAGTAGTGCTGCTGCTCGTCGGAGCGGTGGACCACCTCCCCGCCGCGGACCACCAGGAAGCCAGAGTCGCCCAAGTTGGCCGTGTGCAGCCTGTGGCTCTGCCGGTCCAGAACCACAATGCAGGCCGTGCTGCTGCCTGCAGACACACACACATTTCTCTTTAATATAAATGCAAATGCTTAGCAAAGAAAAATGCAAATACGCTCTGCACCTTCAGCTGGGTCGAGGTAAATGTAACTACACCACAGAGCATTCATAACAAAACCAAATAGTATTGCGTGGGTATTTTGAAGTTGCTGAAATAAATAAATAATTTTCTTAATGACTAAAGCTGCACCCACCCTAAAAACAACCTCTTCCTCCTGACTTTTCTCAGCTACACAGCTTAGAAGATTCCTCTCCCTTTATGGAAAGACACAGTCTGAAGTGTGTTTTTAAGAGACTAATTAATGAGGTCAGCGCGACTACACAAACTTGATGTAACACAATCAGCGTAGAGCTTTTAAGAACTCTTTGGACTTCCACCAACTGGGAGATGGAGAAAAACATGAGCTGGGGGAGCGGGAGGACAGCGTACAGCCACACCCTGCTGGTGATTCATCCGGCACACCGAAAATATGCAACAAGGATCAACCTTGAAAAACCCCTCGCGCACTGTGACTCACTCACTCACTCCCTACCACTCTCACTCCACACACACGCACACACACGCACACACACACACACAAAGAACATTCCCTCTTCCGTGAAGGAACAGCACAATACGGTGTTGTTTTCCCTGCTGCACATGTGATAAAGGGGTGGAAAAGTACTGACACTCGCAGAGATCTGTTCCCAAAACATGCATTCAGTGACGTTTCACGTTTGTGCTTTGTTGTCTGGAAGCGGTGCAGAGGAGGACAAGGATTGTGGAAGTGAACGGGTCAGGACTCGGGACATTCCCGCGACTTCTTAGATGGGATCTGGCTGCTCTGACTCATGATTTCCATCCAGCCATCAGGCGGAAACAAACAGCTTAACCCGAAACAGTGTACTCGCATCCAAACCACATGGAAAATGTCCGTTTTCACGTGCATGCACAGTACGCCTTTACTCTCTCTATCCAGCGGCTTTACTGCGCTCACCCTGCAGCGGTACTTTGTTCTGCAGCAGCTCGTAGTAGCTGGTCGTGAGGACTCCCACTGGGTTGCTGGGGACAAAGCGTCCTTCCTTCACCAGCCTCTCGCACGTCTTCATCAGCGTCCCTGAAAACTGAGACGGGTCTACTCCGTAGTCCCTCCAGCCACCTACTCCATCTGCTACACCTAGAACAAACAAATTCACAACATTGACCTTAATATTAGTTCAACAACTCACACTTCCATCACTAATGTACGTGTTCTGTATCAGTGCATAATGCTGCTTTTTTAAACCCTCGAAAGGGAACTATTTTTCTAAATGAAAACAAGTTAAGAAACATGGTAATTAATCCCTACGTTGCTCAGACTCTTTCCACAAGTGAGGATAAGCTAGAACAATGCCGTGCAGTTTCACAATAAAAGAAACACAATGGGTACTTTCACCAAGATGCAGAAAAGGGACAAGTGTGGACACAGTGCTCAAGAACTCAAGGAAATGTCACAGAATGTACAAAGTCACAAGTTCATCTTTGAACTGTCACTGTTTCAGTTATTGCCAATTATGCAAAGCGGGTCCATCTGATCTTCTACAGCAGTTGAATAAATCTTTTGAACAATTAAACATAGATGTTATACACTTCAGTGGATTTTAGACCCACTGATGGTATATTGTGGCTCTCAAAACATAAAATCTGATCCCTGAATAAAAACAGTTCATCTTTCTATAGAAACATGATCTCTTTTGTAGGTTCATAAGAGCACTTGTTCCCTGAGGAGCATTTGATAAGGCCACAGACTTTCTTCGACAGGAAACTTTAGTCCTCCGAGGACTGACCATACAAGGATGGCCCTCTGGTCTCCTCTGTGCCAGCACAGAGAGGAACAGGCCCGCTGAAAGCAAACAACTTTACAACCAATCAAACCGTCCAAACAATAACCTGGGAGGGTAAAAAGATGTCCTGATTTTCGAGTTTACTTTGCGTGAGTCTTTGTTTGACTGACAGCTCCACAGAGGTGTTAAATAACAGGTTTGTTTATATAAGATCCAAGGTCTTTGTGCTGAAGAGCCATTTTAAATCAACCCTGAGCCGGTTTTAAAGAATAAATTCTCCACACACTATGAACCCAGTGGAGGTTCAAGTAGAGTAAATAAAGATGCAGCAGTGCGTCGCAGGTAATCAATACAGAACACAACAGATCAAGTGATGGGATGTTAGCAGCGGATAAGCCCTTTTGTGAAAACACCCAATTGTATCCCTCAGTATGCACTTTAAGCCGTTTAATATAGCTATTGTTCGCACGTGCAATCCAACCTCCGTAGCCTTCCGATAAAGCGGATAACCTCTGACCTCCCATTCGGGACACAGCCAATGCGATGGATGTTTTTTCGACGGCAAACAAAAGCAGACGGCTCACCCAAAACATCTGCGGATCTGTGCCGGGCGATGAAGCACGCGTCGTCCCCGTAACACATCCCTTTCTTCAGGATGCCTTTGCAGAAGTCCTTGCCGAAGCCGCAGCTCGCCGTCACCAGGCTGTAGTCGCGGCCGTCCGTCTGAGAGAGTCCGCCGATGACAGCTCTGGCAACCAGTCTACCGTAGGACAGCACGGACAACATCACCTACACACGCTGCAGCTCCCAGCTGAAGAAAACACGGCCAAGCTAGCTCCCCCCTCCCCTTTGCTAGCTTACCGGCGGTGTGAGCGCACAGTGTAGACTTGCTAACGAGGCTGGAGATGTGGCGATAACTGCGGGGATCCAAGCGCGCACACCCGGGGGGAGTCTTTGCGGTTTTTTTTTTACAGAAAACAGACGCCTCTTCTGCTCCAAAAGACCCGCAAGTGTTGGTTCTCCGCGGCCATGGTGTCAGTGTTGTGCCTCTGTCGACGCCACATAACAGAGTGAGGACCAGCCGTCCTGTGACCTCGCTCCCTCCGCGAGCGAAGTCTTGTGACTGCTCTGACGTCAGACAGCGTTACGCAATCTGCGTTTCCTAATAAGGAAATGTCACTTTCAGACAGCTTCTATCTCATTCATACGTAATACAACTATGTTTCATGGATAGATTGAAAAATAAATAAATAAAAATTAACCTACAATGGCTGTTTGAAGCCTCAGAATAATGCAGCATGATAACACATAGAAAAATACCGAAGTGGAGAAAAATAATCAGCAAAAAAAGCCAATTAATTATTTAAAAAAATAAATGCTGACGCTTTACGTATGCAATATTTCACATACTTTGGACAACGTGCCCAGGTCCCTCACCAAATTGGATTTTGCACTATATTCTGTTGCCCGGTTGTTTATGAGGTGTCCTGAATTAATAACATGCATTGAAATGTGCAGTTCAGTTTGTATTGTCATGCTTAATCAGCAAAAAAGTTTGAGGAACAAATGACATCCAGATACCAATTCCCCCTTAAAATACACTCAAAGTTTATTAGAAAGGTTTAGATGTTACAAGAGTGCTTCCTTATTCATTTATTTTAGCACAAGACTTGTTTAAAAATGTGATGATGCAGTGTAAGTCAATATCTCATGATACCGACCGTGAATTAACTGTAAATATAGTTTTACAGAAGTAAACAGGTGTTTGTGACTCATCCCCGTTGGTTTTTATAGCCGTTAATACTCATTACTGAAATGAATAGGACAATAAAGAAACTGGAAAAAATTGTGCACAGCTTCAAAACAAGGCATTCCTGTGCATAAGTAGCCGTATTGTTACATTTTTCCTGATTGAACAGTCATATGTGGCAAAGACTAGCTGCAAAATGGAGTGCAAAACACCTGAGGTTTTCATGGTGACACATCAATTTACCCCTGTGGACAAAACAACGAAACATTTTGCTTTCATCAGGTAGGAGTGAACATCTTTTCATTATTGGCAGCATGAAGGACAACCGACCCTTCATATGCAGAAGACGTAAGCAGAACAGAGGAGCGAGAGTCCGGTCGTTTGTGTCCCCCCCACACTCATTTCTTGGCTTGCTTGGTGACCATGTTGCGGGGGGGAGTCACGGGACGGCTGCCGTTAGGCTTCTTCTTCTCAGCTGGCTTCAAAATCTACAAAAACAATATATAGATTACTGTCACACACAAACAAACTCCTTCTGCAGGTGATGTTCACCCAGCACAATTTCAGAGTAGAAGAAACATTTTGGGATTTTTGTGATGGCTGTTTTTCATTATTTTTACATTTTCAATTCATTAAAATCAAAAAATTATAGATTTATTAGAAGAAAAACTATTTGTGTGTAGTTAATTGTTGTTCAATTGAGCAGTATGTTACAGTTACAGTGTGTCAAATCTAAGTACAAATCATATCGTCCTAAAATACTTAACGCACGAGCTGACCTTCGTTTGAACCTTACCTGAAAAGAGCACATGAGGGTCTCGTCCACACTCATCATGGCACCAGCATTGTCAAACTCTCCACAATAGTTGGGCGCTGAGAACAAAGTGACAAGCTGCCTCTTTGCGAAGAATTCATAGCCATCCTCAACAACCTGCAAGTGGGATAATAATAATAATAATAATAATAATAGACACTTGAAAAAAAGAAGTGTTATGAAGAGTGTTAGATATAGTCTTGTGCACTGGTTCCTGATGGGCCGGGCCTAAATCTTTTTCAAAGAAAACAAAGAAAAAACAATCTTCACTTGAACTGTTTGACAACCACTAGACGGACGTATGCGACCAGAGATCAGGGGAATCATTGTCCAGCGCTCACAGCATTGTGCCCGTTCTGTGTACAGCACATGCTGTACTGCACTCCTTGTGTATCAAGTGTATTCAGCATACCTGCCAATATACAGTGACGTCACATTCCTGTTGATAATGACGGGAGGTCTGTGTGATTACCTGATGGGCCCGACAGATGAGATCCAGGTCGTGCTTGTGCAGGAACTTGGCCACCACCTCTGAGCCGAAGGTAAATGACACACCCCTGTCGTTCTCCCCCCAGCCCAAAACGTCCTTGTCTGGATCTGACCACAGCAAATCACACAGCAGACCCTGGTCGGGCACGTCAGTGGGGCGCATGATGCGTCTGATCTGCTCCATGGACTGAAGGTCAGGTGACAGTCCTAGACAGAGCGGTAAAAGTACAAATAAACACACTGATACAGAGGTCAACACGAGGAAGGTCCACATCAGTTGACAAACAGCATTGCTTCAGGACAAATGAGCGTGGCTGACATACTTTGGACATTCTGCAAAACTAAAACCAAAGTGAGGATTAAGGAAACTATACGAGACAAACAATATTAGATTTAGTTCAAATTCAGAAATAACACCCACCTCCGTGGCAACAAAAGATCTTCTCATCAACAATGGCGGCGATAGGGAGGCAGTTAAAACAATCTGTGAAGGTCTTCCAGAGTTTGATGTTGTACCTTCTTTTACCTAAAAAGTTCAGGAAGAAAAGATTTCAATATCAAAGCAATAGCAACACTTCTGTTGCTGCAACAGTTGCGAAACTCCACCAAAGACATCAACCACATACACCATGTGACAAGACTGAAAAGAAATAATGAAGTATAACTTTTACTGGGCACGGAGGTACGATACTCACACTCGTCGTAGAAACCATATATTCTGTTGATTGAAGCACACTCGTGGTTTCCCCTCAGCAGGAAGAAGTTCTCTGGGTATTTGATTTTGTAGGCCAGCAGAAGGCAGATGGTCTCCAGAGACTGCTTCCCTCGGTCCACATAGTCGCCCAGAAACAGATAGTTGCTTTCTGGAGGGAAGCCCCCGTACTCAAACAGCCTCAGCAGGTCATAGTATTGCCCGTGGATATCACCTGCAGGACAACGGTGCAACCAAGGTGAAATTAGAAAATTATGCTAATCATAAAACCAATCTGATAGATACACATTCAAATCTTACTCACCACAAATCTTGAGAGGGGCCTCCAGCTCCAGAAGAATGGGTTGACTGAGAAAAATCTCCCTTGACTTCAGGCATAATCCACGAATCTCGATCTCCTGCAGCTGCACGTTCTTGCCAGGCTTTGCCCCTCTGACTGCAACAAGAAAACATAAACAAAAAGGTCAGCAAAAAACAATGGATGGTAACGGTTTCACACACAAGCTGGTAACGCCTGTTATGTTATATCTATACTAAGGTTGTGCGGGACAAAAAGGTGACCATATGTGTGACAATGTGTAGTGTTTGTGTGAGAGATAGTGTGTGTGGGACCAAGTAACGTGAACGTTACATGTCGTTTCGTGCCCTTCATACAGTAACATTCTCAACGCAGACACAAATGAGGTAATACCTGAAGTTTAGCCGCACATAGTGACTAATAACCGTTAGCTAATGTTAGCTAATACGGCTAGTTATTGTTCAAGATGTTGAAAAACATCCGCTAAAGCTAGCCGCGTTTCTAGCTAACGTTACTCTCAGCGTTCGTCACATCATGCGGATAACTGAAGTAGGTTAGCTAATGATTTATAGGTCGTATTTTCAGCCTTTCCTTACCTTCTAAAAGACGCTGGATGATACTGTCTATGTTGAGCTTGTCAACATCAGCCATTGTAGCGTTGGTGTTAATAACAACCGATTCAGTCAAATTTAATTATTCGCGTTTACACGCTCGAAAGCTAGCCCGCTAGCTATCCTAGCATTAGCTACCTAACGTTAGCTTCGCTTATTTTCCGACTAAATTTGTTGGTGTGACCCTGTTTCTGTTGAGCTGGTCGTTGACACCTTTGGCAATCTATTACGCTACTCCGACGTGGCAGTTAAAAAAAAAAAAAAAAAGAAGAAGAAAGATCTACATCTAACGGTTGGCTTTTTGGTAAGAAACGGGGACTAAAAAAAATAAACGTCAACCGCACTAGCTGCGATGGTGCCCCGTCTCTGTTTTTCTCTGCCGCACCTTGTACTGCTAGCCAGCTGCTTCGAGGAGGCTGCTGCTGCTAGCTGCTGCGCTGCTGCTGCCCCCTAGTGGACTGGATGAGAACGCGCCTTTAACCCAGATACAGCTGAGCTTTTTGGAGGGTAAAAATACAGGGAAATAACAACACATCAACTTGATTATTAAGTAGATATTATGAGCATCAGGGTTCACTTTGAAGACGGAAACGGATAGTGCAAAATTCATTTGCACTATCGCCTCAATTCCTTTGTCATCGTATAGGTTTATGTTCAGATAAATATATACTTTGGGATTTATATTGTATATAGTCGTTAAATGTTTATACTTACATCTGTTCTACTTTTTTTGTTGTCCTTGTTTTTATTTTTTGTATTTTTCCTGTTTATTTGTAAATTCAGTGTATGTACGTGGAGAGCAAATGAAAAACTGGAGTCAAATTCCTTTACATGGCCAATAAAGCTGATTCTCTCTCATATATAAACAAAGATATGACAGCCGGGTTAAGTAGGATATTGTTTGTATAGTTAATCCATGGCCCTTAATAAGAATTGTCAGAATAATAGCCTACTAGGACAGCAATCTTTTAAAGCAACATAATTGCATAGTATTCTTTTTTTTAAATTATAATTAGCATATTTGAGAAAAAAACGCTATTAATTGTTACCACAGCATAATGTTAGGTGCAGTGATTCTCTTAAATGTATTCGTAAAGCATTTAAAATCAATCTAAGTCTAGTTAAGGTACTAACAACAACATATTTGTAGCTCATTGCTGTTCAATTGAGTACTATTTTTAAATTACACAATATGTTAAATTAAAGTGAAAATCACGTGATCCTAAAATACTTGATGCACAGATGGAAGCCACTCACCTGGGAATAGCGCGAGTAGTTTAGTATTTCACAGTGAGTTAGTGCCATTAGAAGATAGACAGCAGCTTATTACAGGGTAATTATATGGTACCTCAATCACTGGTAAGTCCTAAGCAATAATATAGTTGCATTGGTAATAACATAGTGCTGGAATGGATAAGTATTTACCAGGTAATTATGCAGCAATTTGGGGAACAAAGGGATAATGGGCAGTGATGGATGCGGTAATTATTATTCATTATTCAGCAGCATGTATATGCCAATTTTGTTGAAAAAATTAAAACACAGGTTTATATTTTGACAGTGTGCTTACTAAAAATCAGATGAGAACGAGCCATTCTGAGCTCTCGGGTGTTTTGGTAGTGATGATACATTGACAGGGAACACATTCATATAATTCCTGCTGTTATTGAGAGACACTGCTCAAACAGACATATCGTAAAACACTGCTGCAAGATAACTATATGCTTCTCTGCTGCAACAATGGGAAGCAAAGCTGCAACACAAATCTATCTCCCTCGAGACAAATGCAAAAGAATAATAGTTGTTTCTCACACTGGGATTATAGCTAACCTCCTCACAGGCCTGCATGTTTAACCTCCTGACCACACACACACACACACACACACACACATCATCATCAGTGGATTTTTGCAACATGTCTTCTTCAGCAAAAACATCTCATAGCATGTGATGTCAACACACAGTAAACACTTCCTTTCTGTGGTCTCATACACTTTTAATTTGACCTATTACATACAGGAGATCACATGTACATAGCACAGTAATAGATATAGAACTATACACACTAACTTATAATGCTTGATACATTCATGCAGAATGATGTGATTCATGTAAATTCATTTTTATTTTGTTTTTCTTCTGTGTTATATTTCAGCACAGGGGGGGGGGGGGCACCTCAGGCTAAAACATCGTTTTTCATGCACTGATCAATTTTGAGATTTAGGGCTATTTTGTCGTCCTTTAGACAAGTGGAAAGAAAACATCCAAAATACACATTTAGGTGTTTTACGACTTTGTCTATTTGCGTCTGTAGATTTCTCCTAAATTCACCAAAAGTTAGCATAAGATGGTGCCTAATGTGCATATTTAAACATTTCAGAAAACTTGTAATACAAAAAAGAATTGCCTTAATGTAAGTAATCAACTGGGAAAGTTTCATGGTGATATCTATTAGTTAAATGTTTTGACCCTATTCCCTTGGGGTCCAGAGTGAGATCTCAGGAATCCTCTACTCTTGGTCTTTCTCTTCACCGTGTGTGATGACGTAGACCAGGTTGTTGTAGTCCAGGTTTCCTGCTACATCTGGTGGGAAAGCTGCAAACATCTGTTCCATCTATGGGAGGAAAAAAACCAACAAGATTAATATTTGGAGTGAATCATTTCTCTATAGCCTTAATGAAAACCCAACAATGTCATATATACTCCAACGTTTTCCAAGGTGGAGCTCTCACCTCTTCAGGGGAGAACCTGTCTGCCTGAGTCGTCAACATGTTCGTCACACTGTAAAGAGAAGCAGCTGTGATGAGCAGACTGGGACGTTCACACCTCGTTCAGCAACAGAGCACTTTGTTACTCACAAATCTTTCTTTAACGTTCCTTTCCCCTCAGGATCGAAGACTTTGAAAGCGTTCAGGATGGTCTCCTCCGGGTCAGCACCTGGAGATGAACAGTTGGCAGTTGAGGAAAAGTTAAAACAAAGGAAACATCTTTTTCTTTCTTTCTTTTTTTTAACCAAAAATTGCCATGCATACATTTCTATTGTTACAATCAGGCTCTGGAATATGCAGAACCCCCCCCCCCCTTCACCTTTTAGTTTCTCTCCAAACATGGTGAGAAAGACTGTGAAATTAATCGGTCCTGCTGCCTCCTTCAGCATCTCATCAATCTCTTCTTGCTTGACATTTAAACGGCCTAGAGAGAGAGACGGCGGATGAGGGTGGAATCAGGTTTAGAGCTTGATCAATCTGACTGTTGTTTTCTCGATTGATTGATTGATGAATCCTCTGGTCAATAAAGTGAAAAATGCCTGTCATAATATTACAGCAACCTCAGATCACTTCACCACATTGCTTGTTTTGTTTGAGCAACAGTCCAAAGACAAAGATATTGAGTTTACATCACATAAGACAACGACATTCTAACATTTGAGAAGCAGGAGAGTGTTTGGGCATTTGTTTGTTTAAAAAAACGACTTAAAAATGGTTTTCTCGACATATCGCTTCAGCTCCAACAATGCTGACGACTGGGTATACTTCTATAGAATGTAACAACTTATAGCACAACAGAGACACAACAGACACACAGGTGGTCCATACCTAAAGCTGCGTAAGTGTCTCTCAGGTCATTCTTGTCAATGAAACCGTCTCTGTTTTGATCCATGATGGTAAAAGCCTGCAGAAGCGTTATGGTTACACCAGTGTCAGAGCGAAAGTGCTCAGATTCAATGTGAAATGAAACATTTCGGCAGAGCACTGACCTCTTTGAACTCCTGGATCTGGGCCTGTTCAAACATGGCGAACACGTTGGAGCCGCCTCCATCTGACCTCTTCTTCGCTTTCTTGGGTGCCTGCAGGGTTGTTGTTGTTTTTTTGACAATGACGCTCTAATTAGATTCAACACTAATGGCGCGATCATCACCTGGCTTTCTGCTTTCAGCTTCACTCATCGGGTTTTACTGTGACACGTGCGCTTATGATAACGAGCCAAAACCAAGTGTGGGGGCATTCATTGTACACCAGGTTATAGGTTCGTGTACTGGCGCGCGCATTTCATTATAGGACGGATTAAAAACACCGACAGTTTGTTAAATATTTACTCAGGCCTCCCGATTCTGCGAGAATGCAGATTTAAGCCTGGGGAGGGTGTGGTCCGCTGCCCGCACCACACAGTCACGCGGTGGGGGGATTATTCTATAGGGCCTGGGTGATGACAGGATGGTACACTGAGCCCTGTTTGATCAGAAATCCCTGTGAGGCAAGGATTATGTCGAGCTATTTACACGACTGCCAAGGAAAAAAAACCAGTGTGAGGGAATGCAGCGGGATGACATCATACTGCTCGGATTCACGGGCCTCTCGACAGCTGCTGTCTAACCCTTGTTGTGGATTAACTCTCGAGCATTTATATCTCTCTCGTGGACGGGACCTCTGGCGCTTAGCTTATTTCTTTATTTTTTTGTTTTTAAGAGGATTCTTGCTCATATGGGACGCGAGGCGGAATGTGCGGATTCTTGTTGCAGGAACGTGATTGGACGAAATAATACGTTTCATTATTCTTGACCCCTTTGTGTTCTGCACCTGCTGCTCTTTTCTTCTCCTTTTCTTTCCTCCTTTCTCATCACCTCTCCTCCCCTGTGAACTCTACTTTCCCCTCATCTCCTCCGTTTTGCTCTCCTCTCCTTGTTTGTCCACTCCTTTCCTCTCCTCTTGTCTCCTCTCCTCCTCTTTTCTCTCTTCCCCTTTTGACAGAGGCCGTTAGAGGAAAAAGGACGCAACATTTACTCTCCTCTCATTACCCCCCCCCTCTCTGTATCTATATACTTAAAAAAAAATCAATTAAAAAAATAGATACAAATAATCAATAAATCATCAATAGGACAGCGCTTTTATTTTTGTTGATCTATTCAGTGCCCATGCTCATATTGACATGGGGTCTATTGATTTATCATCATTGGTGTGAGCAGAAGAAGATGTATAATTCATCACATGACAGTATATGATATACATACATAATATAATATAATATAAAACACATGCAGCATGAAACAGAATGTCTCCTCACAGTCTGGTGGTACTTGAAACAAGATTGAATGCAATGACAATGAAATCAGTGTCCACTCACCATGTTCCAGTGGTAGCTGATGAGGAGCAGTATCCTTTATGATTGGGCGGCACACAAGACAATGGGTAGATATACTGACCCCTCTCCCCTACATAATGGGGCACGCTGGGCTATGAATACTCCACGCCTTCTTTAGTCAGGGCCCAGGTAAAGAAGACTAGTCCCTCGCCGCCGCCAACCCATTGTCAGAGTTCATGAGATTTAGGGATAACAGCCAAACGCACATTCCCCATATACCGAGACCCCAGAATAACAATAGGACATAGCTTTGGCTCAGGAAGGA